TCGATTTGACAGAGAAGGTTTGGTACGTGCATGCGCACTTTTTTACGTCTACGTCTTCAATATTTCACGACGGACGGGCTGAGCATTGCCTTAAACGTGAAAGGGGATGAAGAAGGTTTTATTTGTAAGGCGGAAATGACACAGGCCCGAAGCAACAAACGACGAGGTACAGCGTTGGTTGCAGAGTTTACGTACTTGGTAGCTTTGAAAGGGCCGACAAGCGACGTGACGAGCAAGTTCACGCTCTGAATCTCATTGTAAGCCTGGGTCTGGTTGCATAAGAATTCAGTGCATGTGCGAATGGACCCTCCCCTCTCAACTTTACATCATACTTTGTGGAATTGTCTTTTGGTCTTAAGACGATATCAAAATTGACAGATTGGATTCTCGCTGTCTTGAAAAATTGACGATAGTGCACCCCATTCCCTCCGCCAGTGCGCGGTAGGCATGGAAACAAACTCTTGAGAAATTGACGATTGATCACCCCACTCCCTCCGCCAGGTTGCCCAACACCGTCAGCACCTTAAGCACCAGCTTCGTTTCAACTAGGCTAGAACAACCCCGACCGTATAACTGTGGGCGGACGGCATACGGTCACCGTCGTGACGGTATCTCTTTTGTCACCGTGGGCCGACGGCATACGGTCACAGTCGTGACGGTATCTCTTTTGTCACCGTCACCGTCGCGAAAAGAAGTCACCCATCGAGCGCGCACCCTCTGGTATTCAAAATCGAGACATGGAGATCCGATGTGAGACACGTGTCGGCGAGATGTAAAGCGACGCGAGCCCGGCCCGGCTTGAGGCAAGACAAGCCGAAGCCTCGAAGGCCGAGCGAGCAACGCAAGCCAAGGCGGCAGCAGCACTCACGCAGCTCTGTGCTCGTCTGTCTGTCCGATCCAGGCTATGGCGAGTCACATGAACAACATGCTCTTCGGGGGCGGGCATTCTCCGCAACAAGCGTTGCAGAATAGCCATCGAATAGGCAAAGGGAAAGGGAGGCCATCATCTAGTAGACAGGAAGGACACGACACGAGTACCAGATAGAGTAATGTTTCGGAAGGGGAGGGAGGGAGTGAGGTAGGGATGGGGAGATGTGTTTCAGAGGGGGAGAAGTTTCATAGAGTTTCGTATGAAGGGGCTCATGGCAGTGGGTGGATTTCGACTTTGGTCGTTAAGTCCCTATCAGGGTCGGTGTGTGGGGTAGATCATTCATTCCTCTATGTCCAGCAGCAGCGAGATGTTGGTGGATGGGATGAGGAGGGAAGGGATGTGGTTCGGAGCCGAGCCGAGCATTTCTTGAGTGACATTGATTGGATGAGATGAGCTGAATGAGTGGGCCTCGCCAGAGCAGCAGCAACATCCCATCGTCAATGCTGCTGCTGCTAGTCATTCGATAACTCGTTTTTGTTAATGGGACGTTCGGTAGAAGACATCTTATTTTGTGGGGTCGGAAAGTAGTCCTAACTTACAGACTGGAAACATTCCATGTAAGCACGCACGAAGCTTATACAAATTTGTCAGATTTAATGATAAATCACCTTGACGAATAAATCCGAACGAAGGCATACAATCCGAACTCTTAAAAACTCGAATCGTGGATGAAGGATTGTAACCTTTGCAGTGGTCTTTGATCTTTATTAAGTTGATATCACATATTTTAAACAGAAGAATGATATTTGATCTGTATTGTATCCTCTTCTCCTCGAACCGTCTTGCACACTCGTTGTAATGCGTCTCTAGCTGATTCCTCTGGGAATCATGCGAGCTCAGAACAGGAGTGAATGGGCCAACAGGCGGATCCGCTATCAGACGCCCGCCAGCCTGCCCTGAATGCGATTCCGCAGGTTTTGAATGAAAGACAACCAGTTCGTCCCCTGCTCGTTGCCTTCCCGTTCACCAACAACCTACCGCCTGAACTACAGCTCTTGAAGCTCAGTCCAAATACTGCGAAGACAGCTCTTGCCGTGATCCATTTGGCATCTAGAAATCGAGACTGGTAGCATAAGCTATTGGTGCTAACTTGCACTTTAATCCTTCGATTGGTCGATGGGGGTACAGGTACAACATCCCTAGGGACTAGTGAACTCGTCTAGACCGAGTCAAACTGCGACACATGATTGATGGCGATGTAAAATCCGGCAGGGCAGGGCGCTTGCACTTTTCTCCCGAGATGCCCTTTGGTCCCTAGAATATCAGTGAGCAGGCCCGAGGGCGGAGTAACTGCAAACAATGCATGGACTCGGAGCCCATCAACATCGAGAACTGTAACGAATAGGAAGCGTATCATGAGCGATATATTTCACTCACACCGACTTACGAGATCGAACGATCAAGATTAAGCAGACCTGGTGATGCAACACTTTGACAGGCCGGTCGGTTGGACTGAAAGCTGGATAAAAATGTCAAGGTGATATTTTGGGCAGCTTGGTCGTACCAGTGACTGACTGACCGACTGCTACTGCTGCTCAAAGGCAGGAGAACGTCGAAGCCGAGTGGCTGGAGTCCAACTGTACATAAAGTCTTTGCAACTGTGAAAAGCTGAGTGTGCGGGTGAGTACTGTAAGGTTGGAGTTAGTGGGCAGGAGCAAAGTCAGCCAAATTGTATCTGCGAAATGACTTTCATACCCTCGCATGTTAGTTCATGAGTGCTGCTGTGCTTTGGATTTTTCCTTCTCACGATTCATGCTTCTGTCTAATCTCTGATCATGTTCCCGTCGATCGTCAGCTCGTTCTTGAAACTTTAACAAAGTACGTGGTTGCTGGACTTCAAGAAGACGCCCATGTGAATCTTGAGGACGCTTCGTGAAAGGTATAAAACAGGTTTTGGAAGATATTCTCCACGAACTTTTCCAACCCTATCAGAAAATATAATCACTGAGACCGAGGGCAAATCCAAATGAAGAACAATCTGTACGCCCTTAGCCTCGCGAAACCAAAGAATCTCAATGCAACCAAGAAGCCGCCTTCACGACGTTCGATCCATACAAATCGTTCACTGCAATTGACATCCGTGTCCTGTAATCGGATCCATTAAAAATCAGCGGGGTGTACTGGAACAGAAGCGCAGGATGTGATTACATATTCGAGCTCAAGATTACTCAGCTTGAATGCAGAAATCGACAAATCGCCACCTCCGAGCTAGCCTGATCCGCCATCGCCAATGCGAGACACAAAACGCGTCACAAGAAATCCTAGTCGCAAACGCCAGCCGGTCTCGTCTTGGGCGGGAAGCGCGAGACGCGAAACTAGGGATGGGCACGGCTCGGCTAATACTTTCTCTTAGCTGGCTAGCCAATAATACAGCCGCCTTGCCGATAAATATTGCCACCTCTATCCGAGGCCGAAAACAAACCGTAAACTCAAGCCGAATTTACGTTTTCGGTCGATTATTTCCTTAGATTCGGTCGAAATTATCCAATATACATTCATTTCAACCGAATATTCGGTTGATTGCATTTTCACCCGATAGCCGACGGCTAGCCGGCTAAAATTCCAGGCCCAGCCGGCTAACCGTTTGTATCGGCTAGCCGAAAGTTAGGCGGCTACGTGCCCATGCCTACGCGAAACCCCCGGGTGACGGTGAAACCCACTGGGTAACGGTGATGGTGAAAGACGAAAAGTGTACGTATACCGTCAACCCGGAGACCATACCGTCGGGGTTGTTCTAGCCAGAAGCGTTAGAAGAGACTGCATCGTCCGCTGTCCTCGTTACTTCTGTAAAAGTTATCATCGATGGAGTCGACACCGTCAGCACCTTAGGCAGCAGCCTTGTTTCCCCTCTAACCGAGATGAAACAAACTCCCCACCAATCATAGCGGGGAGTTTGTTTCCATGCCGTTAGAAGAGAATGCATCCTCCGCTGTCCTCGTTACTTCTGTAAAAGTTATCATCGATGGAGTCGACGACGGCCATGAAGAAACCTTGAAGTCTTACTCTTTCCATTCAAATAATGTCTTTTACAGTTGACTTCTATGTGTTAAACCGGATATTTAAGTGGTGCATCCTTTAATTTTCTTGGCACATGTTGTCCATCTTTCATTTATATTCAGAGTATGATCTCGGGAGCAACGTGACGCGCTTAGTAATGTGCCACAATTAGGATACAAGGGTGACGCAATAGCAAACTTGACGTGAGGAACATTTACAAACACTTCAGTACGAAACTGGAAAACATGACTTTAATTTTCTTGCCCGGACAATCCGGTAGACACTAAGCAGACATATTTAGTAAGAGTTTGGATTGGAAATCATAATGGAAGAAAGTACTAGGACAAGGACCATTTCTGCTGTAGACACGATCATGACAATCTGAGGTGCCGAGTTTGACAAGATTATGCAGTTAAAACTCACTCCAAGCATGAGAGAATGTGACCACGAGGCCCCTGCTACGTGGAAACTCTCACGATGAGGAGTCTCAAAAACCCCTCTTTCTACTCAATGTCGAAGGAAAAATTTGTATAAAAATCTTCACCTTGCAACTGGAAAAAACAATATCATCCTTAATTGTATGCATCACATTTCCAAGGAGATGGTGTGGATGAGAGTAATCGATGTGGATTCAACGAAAAAGACTAAAAATCGGTTTAAAAAACCATTCCAGTTTGTCGTTGAGGTTAAGAGGAACTGGAGAATCTATAATTGCTGATGTGAAATTTTCATTTTCCAGTTAGAAATACGTCCTCTACAATTGTACATGATGCACTGTCGCCATGTCGAATGCCATCGCCTGATTCGTAGTTCTAAGTCTTGGGAATAATGTTTGAAGGCGAGGATCCCAAGCAGCCACTGACCAGCTAAATCTAAACGTCGAGGCTTTTTCTGTTCGCCTGAGAGGATGAATTCGGTTCGGATGCACAGAACTGTTTAGCGGAGATGGTGGCCGAGACATGCTGTTGCATGCTGACCTCGATCATGTCATGGTTATGTCCTAAGAACAGATGGCAACCAGAGCACCACCAACTGACTCGATTCATTCCAATTCATTCAGGCCGACAGAGGTGCAGAAAGTTGGACACTGCACTCCATCTCCAGGCAGAGAGAGGGTAAGCGGGGGAGACAAGTTTTGGCCGAGAATCGTGAGGCTGTTTGACCGAGCTCTGAAAAACAGCCGGAAATCTGGTTGTCTGAGATACATCAAATGCTCCGGTTCATCTGTTTCTGCGGGATTGGTAATCTGGTGGAAAGCAGCAGAAGCGTCGGAGGTAGGGGCTTGGAGGCGCAGGTGGGAGGTTTTCTGGCTGTGCCGTAGCAGCCGGCCTAGAAAGGGCCTGTAGAGAGAGCGAGCGAGAGATGGCGACGACATGAAATTGCGCGTCACAGTCGAGTTTATTCGTGTCCTGGTAACGAAGATGCGGTGTCTTTTATGGATCGGGTTAGTTGAGTTCCAAACTACGTCGAAGAACATGACGATCGTTATGAGGTTTTGGAGCGACTAGTGAGTGCAGTGACGTGGATAGTGTTGGGGAAGCTTGTTTGGAACCCCGCAGATCCGAAGTTTGGCCCTCGGGGCAAGACTATCTGTGTCATCTGTCTCTCTGATTGTCGAGGCACGGACAAGTTTCCTCCTTCTGAAGGTGCCATTTCTTCCAACGAGGAAGCACTCAGTGGCGGTTGGTGATTCGCGTGCTGTTATCGGAAGGTTGTGAAATTCGTATCCGTTCGTGGGAGCGCGACACTTTTGGGCTTTTTCTGTTGTGACAGGGGAGTCGAACGACGACAGAGCTTGAGCAGGAGACCAGGCTTTGTAGGTAGGTTTTGGTTGTGAGGTGAAGTGCAGGCGTGACTTAGTCTGGACACAGTTGGAAGTGGGCACCTTTGCGAGCATCCTTCATCCTTCTTGAATTGGGTGGGACGGCAAGCTTTCACTTGCCCAGGAGACCTGATAGAATGGAGGTTTGGCTGCAGCTACTGTAGGTTTCAGTTTGATCAGATCTACCCTTCTGAGAGCTGGTCTGGCCTTCAAACATCGAACAAGTTCTACGAGGGCTTTACGCCAGGACTAAACAAAACTTCAGCAGCAAAATGACGTTTGAGAACGAGAGCTCAGTGTATGTTGGAGGGCTGGCATACACTAGCACAGAAGAAGAGCTGCAGGATGCATTTGATGGTTATGGGGAGATACTGTCCATAAAGGTTGTGTCTCGTTCCTCTCATTATCTCTCCAGTCTTTCTCTTCTTATAACATGTTGGCTGCAGCCCATGAAGTCTGCTACTGGTGTCCATTTTCAAGGCACTAAATTTACAGATTATGGCCAATCTTTATATGATATTCGGAGGGCTTCTCTTCATGTAAGTGTTTTTGGATACCTACGGCAAAGCACCGCGCCCGGCACTTGGATTTATTCTTCTGTAGCCAAACGTCTTCGTCACTCGTCGCAGGGCTTTGGTTCCCTGAAGCCCATCTAAGTTTTCTCAGAATCAAAGTGGGCCACTGCAAATTCGTCCAAGAAGCTGACGCTTGAATTATTCATTTTTTTTGCCTCGCTCTCTGAGCTTACAAGGTAACTGTTTTCATCAATTTCCGTGGAGCAAGTTTAATGTTCAAGTGGCATTCAATGTGACGGAAATCCGTCACTGAAATTCGTCTTCTCTCGTAGCAGTTTCGTCTCGCCTTTGAGATCATCAGACGGCTTTTATGTTCCTCACATGGAAAAGTTCAGATGGTTCACGATACGAGACAAAGAGACATCTTTCTCAGACATTGGAGGTCTTGAAATGTGTAGGGGTTGTCGTACTCTTGACAAGGATTGGAAGATGGAAAGGTTACACCTAAGAAAACCTTGCCATCAGTTTTCCGTGCTTGCATTATCCATCGTGTTGATGTCAAAATAGCACACCGGTAGATTTCCTTCTATACGCAGGAAGAGCGCTGAATGAACAAAGAAGAATAATGCTATGCGGGTGTCAGTGTTCCTTACCAGCATGCTCAGAGTCTTTTCTATGTTGCAGCTCCTATCGTTGGCAGTGGAGTTCTATTTTTTACACTGCCTGAGGCTGCTTAACAAGTTGTCCCTGAGTTTTTTTAAACTTCTGCTACTCTTATCCATCATCTGATGGCGGCGACAAGTTCTGCATCTCCATGAAGCTGGCCACATCTCGAGGAGATTCCCTTGCTATGAGTCATGAGGTTCTTACACCTAATGAGACTAAATTGCTGGTGATCATCCAGCAATTTCTCTCCAGGCGTGCAGCACATTGTAATCTCTTCCTTTTTACATGAAAGGATGCCAAGTCAGCCTTGTTATTAGGGGTCTCAATTGACTCAGTCAGGACGCCTCATACCGAGAGATGATTTTTATTCATCTATTTGCTTTAAGGCATCAAGACTTTCATCTTTCTAATTGGAGGCCTTCAAGATTCCGAGCTGCAAAAAATGTTCTTGCCAACTGTCTTTCAATTCGTTTGAGATGAATCTCAAATGAGTTGTGGTGAGTGGACAATCTACTTCCATTTGCTTCCAACTTGCTTTCGGTTGTAGAGTCAATTTTTTTTTACTTCCATCGCCTGCAGCTTGGAACTCCTTATGAACATAAATGACAGAAACTCAATGCATGTCAGTGTTTGCCAGCAAGTTTGTGTGACCGTACTTACAAGTTTACGATCGAGAACCCGAGAATAGAGGTCTTCTTTTCCGGAAGGCCTGGGAATTGCAACATTCTGAAGGCAGAGAATTAGGCCTGAAAGCAGTCTGATTGCAACTCGAGTTCTGTGACTTTCATGACACTTAAAAGCTGAAAGGATGTTTGTGACCACCAAAGATTCATATACTTTTTGAAAAAAGCGTACATAAAAGCTTTCACTCAAATCCAGAATCAAGATTTCTTATATTACAGTGATCGCTGTGCAGGCGCAGTTTTAGTATAGCTTTCAGGATCAATTATTGATACAAGTTTTTGCTGATTTATTGAGTTACATTTTTATCTATCTCACCTGCTCGTCTGTTGACGTGCGTACGTCTTGATAGGGAGCTCCTGCACATGAGAGGAGGACGTAGAAATCTAGATTAAGATGTTCGCTTCTTGTTGGCGACTCAACGTTTAGCTCTGTCTCAGCTCATTCCAACATAGACTTGAAATATACTGATGAGCTTGTTCTTGAAACAGATTGTCTATGATCGGGAAACTGGACAGTCAAGGGGGTTTGGATTCGTGACTTTCTCAAATCCCCGCTCTGCTTCTAAAGCCATCAGTGAGTTGGATGGTGGGGTAAGTTTCCGGAAAGACGAGATGCAGCACTCAATATGTCTCAAAAGCCAATGATGCCTTATCCTTTCGTTTCCAGGAAACATGTGGTGCTCGAAATCATGATTCGTTGTTTTTATCTATTGTGTAGGATAATGCCCTATATCTCCGCTAGAAACTGTTGATATGTCGAATAGGTCTACACCGCCTAACTATGAGTTTAAATGTTCTAACGGTATGAGGGTTGTTGAAAGAGCAGTATCTCTGGGCTCTAGGCCTATCCATTTGTCGTGAGTCTAGAGTTGCACGGGTTGTTATTTCTTTTCTGAGATTTTAATTTTCTCAGCCACTTCAACCTTTCATCTCCATGCAGATAATTGGTGGAAGAACCGTTCGTGTAAATGAAGTAAGGAAACACGCAGGAATGAACGGAAAAATGCCAGTTCCTTTTCGCGATCGGGATTTTGACATAAGGGACAAAGACAGGGAGAGGGAACGACATCGTGACAGAGGAGAACGCACTGGGTAAGAGTCCTACGCACCAAACTGGTCTATAAGACTGCAGAATTGCTTGTTTCCCTTTTATAAAATCTCATTGCTGAAGATTTTCCAAGCTTAATACCTTTTCAAAAGAGTAATTTTTTGTGTTGATGCGAAGAATGTGTCTAAGGAGAGCTTCTCCTAGAGAGATTCTCCAAGAGAACCTATGTACATGGGTTGAGATGCGTTCATAGCATGAAGAAACTGTTTTGTGCCAGCGAACTGCTTGTCGTCGCAGTTCTGTTTAGCCGGATACTGGCCTTGTATACAGAAGCAGCGAATATCAGTTTGCTTATTCCAACTTTGCTTTCATGATTGACGTCTTTCTTTTACACGACTTTGACCCTGGAGTACGTGCATCTGGTTTAATTAAGTAATGTGAGTAGAATGTTGTGACGTTCATATTACAGTTTCAATCAGTGTCAAATTACTACTTTATGTCAACTCGACTTTATTATTTAACATGTTGATACGAGTACTGACTTCGATCATGCGATCAACTCAGACGTGGTCGACTTTCACCTCCACGTAACCGAAGAACATCTCCTGGTATCGGTCGCTCCAATCGGGGTCGCTCTCCTTTAAATGCCTCCATTGGACGGAACAGAGGTCGATCACCAGATATGTCTTCCAGTCAAGGGCGCTCAGCTCGGGCTCGTTCGCCCGTTCCTCGACGAAGCTGCACTCCCTTGAAAGGTGACAAACTTATGTCAACTTTTTCCGTTAAATTTACTTTTGTGTAAGAAAATTTAGATTACTTTATTATGTTTATGTCACTCAAACTGCTGTATCCCCCAAAATTTGAGTTACCTTCCACGTAACTTTCTATTAGTGTAACACTTAAATGTCCTAGCCTTAAATCATACTGTTATAATATACTTCATATCGTCACTACTCTTCTGCGTTTAAATTGACGATCCGTTCCATAGGGGTTGTTGCACACTTTACTACCTCTGACGAGAAGAAACAGAGAAAATGCTTCAGACATGCTTAGCGATATCCACATTCGGTGTGATTTTATGAGTCAAGGAGGCTAATGAGCTAAGGGCTGGTATCAGTAATGTCAGCAATGGACTTGCAGTGACGATGAGGTTCAATGCAATTATGTATGCTGAAGATCTGCATACATACTACCTGACCGCCTGTAAGTTTTTGGGAATTCTTATCATGGATTCCAACAACGCCAATAATACTAAGTTTCTCCAGTACGCGCTTATTACCATGAAAACCAACTCTCACTATTACTTCGAATACTCGAACCACATCAGAATGCGGAGACGTAGTATCGAATGTCAGTACTATTCAACGGGCTAGGTTGAAAGCAGTACAGCAGAGGGACGTTCACACTGTGGTCGCTGCATTTACCCGAACGGGCCCGGTAGGAGTCAGGTCCTAGTTCGGCGGGACTTGCCGTGATGTTAGTAGAGAAATTATTGTGCTAAACTGGAGAGGTCAGTGGCAGCAAATGACATCTCATCGGTACCACCAGCTTCTATGTATGGTCTATGGACTCGAAAATTATAACTCAGTTAAGCTAGACCTGCTGAACGCTGTTTGAGTCGGGTACAAGATGCAGTGAAGACCCCAAAAACACCTTTGGTACTAGTTCTGTGAAGTCTTACTTTCGGAGAGACCAACTTGGTCTCAGAGAACAGGGCAGGGAAAAAGGGTCTAAGTATGACCTCATCTAGCCGTGGGAGATTTCAGAATTCTTAGTTTTTTAGCAATATCAATATCTTAGAGTTTTCCGTGCCTTCTCATTGTGCTTTTTGTGCCTGTTCTCATTGTCCTTTTGTTTGTCGTGCACAGAACGGAGTCCTTCGCTTGATTCATCATCAGCTGGGAGACACCGTGCACGCACTTCTGCAACATCACAATCTCCTAATAGTTCCGAGCAGTAAGTATTTCGTTGATGATGCTGCTATTTCAGGGGCTTGTCATTTGTGAGGCATTTGTCAAACGCTTCCTCGCCAGCAAGAAATGCATAGACAGTATTGAGCTATTTTTACTGGAGAATTAATAGTAAGTTTATATTGAGAACAACCTCAGTCCATTACACCGGGATACTAGAAGTTGTTCGATGATGGTATAATTTTGAAGCTCACACCGGAAGGACTTGTGTCACTGGTGTAGATTGCGTCAGTTGCAGGAAACTCCGGTTCGGGTCCCACCTCCACCACCTCCAAGGGTAGTGAAGCTTGAGAAGCGTAAGGCTCTAAGTGGCCATCCAGAATCTCTGAAGGTACAGCTGTGGTATTTCAATATCGTTATTAGCATGTCCTTTCTCATGAATCAAGGAAGAATGTACATCTGTACATTCTTTTTTGTAGATTCTGGCGCTTGGAACAAAAAGAGCGCACGAGACTAGGTCGGAACAAGGATCGCTTTTCAAATTTCTTTTCTGAACAACGTCTCTAGCAGCCAAGCGATACAATCCTCGGCTGCTGGAATTGAAATTTTCTTGATTTTTCCTAATAGTAACCCTAGAGTACGAGGAGTGGATCTTACAGGATGTGACGTATTATGTATATCATATCTTACAAGTTTCAGAGTGTCCTTGGTTTCCATTTGTGAATGACGAGAGTCTCATGTTACTTAAATTGAATGCAACCGATTGTGTCGAAATTAGGTTCGGGAAGAACTTGACAAAGCTCATCAGAGTCGACAAGAACTTGAAGAAAAGGTAAGTAGGAACTTAGATATGAGGTTTTGGTTGCCCCAAGCTCTCCTTTCTAGTTTGTTTGGGCTTGGTCCTCCGAATTTCATGGCAGTGAACTGTGTACGTTTCACATTAAAGACTAGATCTGACTGGTGGTTATATCCTGGTGAATCTTGATGGATCTAATCTCTAGGTTCTGTCTTTCATCTAGGTGGCACAGCTTACGGGTGCAGTGGAGCGTGCTGAGGAGACAGTTGCCGCTCTACATAACAGATCAAAGGTATGTGCATCGAATTCAATCTCCGATGATATCAGCTCTCATGCCTTCAGGGCATGAAGAACATTCACGTCTTACGTCTACAGAATATGATCTATTTGGTATCCTTCGAGCACCCTCGTTTAGGACGCGAGGTCTGTGCTCTTCAGGCTATCATTGGAAAATGCCAAAGACGAAAAAATTATTTTTCAATTTAAGGTTTGATTGGTTATCCTATCTTCAGGACTTAAGCTCTGCTCTGATCAATCTGATTCTTTATCAGAAATTAGAGGAGGCCTTGGAGAATTCTATAACAGCCGCAACCAATAGGCAACTTTTATTGAGAAAGGTCACTTTCTCTCTCCCGCTCTCATCCGTTTAAAGGCTACTTCTTGTGACTCTGATCGCCCTTTGTTTCTACCATAATTATGTTCGATCATCATACATATTTCTGCATCCCTCTTCTCCTCGCTCTTGTCTCTTCAGAGACTGCTTGCTGTACATTTAGTGTCTCTTGGATTTGCCTTACTATTTTGTCTCAAATGCTGGTTTGAAGTGATAATTCACTCTTGGTAAATTTATCCAGTGTAAATCACACATTTCAGGTGATGAAATGTGTGAGTGTATGACAGCAGTACGCACCGTGCACAAGTGAATGACATATTTTGAGCTTGGCAGATGCAAAGAGGAATATTACAAGTGAAGGATAGCTCAGAGCGGTTGAGCCGACACGAGAAAGAGCTGAAGGTTAGAACCCGCACTGGATATACTTTCGAACCCTTGACTAATATCCTCGGATGCCACATCAAAGAAATGATTGTCCCTGCATAGCTTCAACTTTTTTGTATTGTTGTAGATTTGCGAACTATATTTGGATCGTGGACCGAAAACCCAAAAAAACTGGCAATTTGAGCGTCCGTAGGAAGGAGTGTTTAATTTGTTGATGGCTGTTGAACAACAGATGCTCATGAATACAATAGCGTCTGATATCGAGGTGCTGGAAGAAGGGGACGTTATGGTCAATGGGGGGCATTTTGACGGTGAGGGAAAAGTGGATGACGACATGATGCTGCTACTCAGTGACAAGGCCATTGGCATGCACTAAATACTACTGTCATACATCTTTACTTTATTTGCTTTTTGCTATTCCGTTGAATCATAGTTTAAAACTCATGTTGATGATCGTGAATATTGACGTTCTTCTTGAGCGTTTGAGTTACCCTTGTATGCATATGTAGGAGTAGGAGTTCAATTCTGATGATTGATTTGCAGATGTAAGGAGAGGAAGAAGTTTTGTCTAGCCAGCCAACAACCAGCAGCTGCTATTTCTTGTACATACTTTCATCCTTACGTAGTCTACATCTTTATATTTCAAGTTGTCCAGAGTTTCAAAAGTAAGAACGTTCCCGAGTTTGTACCCACCCCAAGCAGAATGATTTTACCGAATTTTGAGGAAGTCCATCTGTACATGCTGATTCATTCCTGTACTTGCTCCTGTTGTTCTCTTTGTTGTCAGTTTTCTAGCATGGTCCAACCTTTCAGGGCGCGGGTTCAATGGTCGAATGGCTACGGCATGCAAATCAGTACGCTAAGAGTACAATCAATTTTGGTTGGCAGTAGAGAGATTGTGATCACCGTGTCTTCTACTCACTCGATAGTCCAATTTCTCATGAAATTGCAAGCTAAGCTCTCTAACAGACATGTGCATATCCATTTTTTGCCTATGGGGAATGGGGGATTGACTCCTACTCTTCGTTTCTGTGTCTGCCTAGCGATCAAAGCAACATGTTGGTTCAATACCGAGAGGACTTTTTGGGACTACCTTTTTCCCATCACTTTGTAAATCTGCTAGAAGGGAAGGATGAGTGATTCCTGACATGGTTTATGAAGAAGATTGTCAAGAAGGTGGCTATAACCTTGGGAACACGTTCTGGGTAGCCATTGACTGTGTTCAGTGTAGTTGGGAGAGTATATATTTATAAATATAAATATAATATGAACATTAGTCTATATATCCTCGAGGAAATTGTTCTCTTCCAACTTAGTCTCAGTGATGTACTTCGTTACGGATATAGTATGTCTTCGTCGTGGTAACCACTTGCAAGAATGAAGAATTAACTCGTGGAGAAGGTATTCAAAGCAAAAGCTGCAAAATCTACGTGCATCTCAATGATTCCTTTACTTTTTTTACCCCTTTGTGAACTTTGGTGTAAACTGCCCTAAGCCATGAACGGATAACCCCGACTGACATTCAGATAGTTTGAGTATTTTGACAAAATCAAATTGTGAAGGTCGGAAATCAATCATGTCATAGCTTTCAAGAGCGGCGGAGGGTAGAATTGTTGTCCGGATAAATTGGAGTAGAAGCCGAAACCCTGTGATTGCTAGCTTGGCGAAGATGATCCTTGTGAACTCGTTTCCACGTTCTCTTCCATGAAGTCGAACTTCAAATGTCTCGAAACTAACAGAGAAATATGTAATGCCCGCAGTGTGTTCCGCCAAATTTGTCTCCATGTACCAACGGTTCTTTAGTCTAAAATGATTTGAAACAACTCGCCACAAAGATACGGCCCTTTCTATATTGCGGTATGCTCATGCCCAATAGGAACACAATCATGAATGCGCACCATCTGAAGGTGTTATGGAGGAAACCCGTATCCTGTTTCACTGGGCAAGTTTATAGAACGCTAAGTCCAAACCGGCTACGAGAACCCTAGAACACCAGCCCTAAAACGCCTACGATAACCCTAAAACGGCTCCGTCAACCCTAGAATGCCAACCCTAAAACGGCTACAATAACCCCAAAACGGCTCCGTCATCCCTAGAATGCCAACCCTAAAACGGCTACAATAACCCTAAAATGCCAACCCTACAACGGCCCCCCTGCCATCACGACACTACCTCTCCCAATTTAAAGTCTGAATCCCTTCATTCTACGATCGAAGTCGATGGAGTCGAGACCGTCAGCATCAGCGTTGTTTCTCCTCTAACCGCTATCGAAACAAATTCCCCACATAGTGGGGAATTTGTTTTGATAGCGTTAGAAGAGAATGCATTTTTCGCTGTAAAAGTTATCTTCAAAGGAGTCGACACCGATTACCACCTTACACACCAGCGTTGTTTCCGGTTCTCGTTATTTCTGAAAAGTTATCTTTAAAGGAGTCGACGCCGATCAGCACCAGCGTTGTTTCTCCTCTAACGGCTATCGATACAAACTCCCCACCAATCATAGTGGGGAGTTTGTTTCGATAGCGTTAGAAGAGAATGCATTTTTCGCTGTAAAAGTTATCTTCAAAGGAGTCGACACCGATTACCACCTTACACACCAGCGTTGTTTCCGGTTCTCGTTATTTCTGAAAAGTTATCTTTAAAGGAGTCGACGCCGATCAGCACCAGCGTTGTTTCTCCTCTAACGGCTATCGATACAAACTCCCCACCAATCATAGTGGGGAGTTTGTTTCGATAGCGTTAGAAGAGAATGCATTTTTCGCTGTAAAAGTTATCTTCAAAGGAGTCGACACCGATTAGCACCTTACACACCAGCGTTGTTTCTCGTTCTCCCCGGTATTATGGTGAGCATGTGGTTAACGAGGCTACGGAGTGGTTTACCCGAAACTGACATTTAGATACTTCCAACGTGCGCTGAAAGACAACCTCGGTAAAGTCGGCCACTATTTCAAGACGATATAGAAAACTGTTCCACGCAAGAAGAAATGCACAACACAATTAAGTTCCGCAGCCATCGGACGCTGAAGGAATCACGCATGACTGCATCATCGCAGGTAGTGAATCGGACAGAAAGGGCAAAACAAGTATATTTTCTCGAATCTCAAGAGAATCAATTACGTGAATGAAAATACACGTCTAACAATATGACAGACCTTCTGCTATTAAATCTCGAGGAGACACAGAAGACAGTGCTCACGACTAAAATCCCGTGCTAACCTTTCGGTCCAATGTTCGGTAGTACTGTTCAGCAACACTGAGGCGAACGGCTCGGTCACAGCACACGCCGCTGGATCAAGTACTCAACGCTACCAATTTACATTCAAACGTGTGACCTCTGCTTGGATAATTTGGCGGCTCTACATATCACCTCGCGACGTTCGTCGCCAAGTGATGGAGAGAGTCAACTTTCGTTCTCGAAACCACAATTGCCTTGAAGACGACTGCGTTTGTGGGGCACCCAACAACTCAGTGCCCCAACAACGCCCCGTCATTGTTCGGTGCCCTAGATGAAACAACTATCATACACGACCGAGCGAGACCGTTCAGGTGTTGAGAACGGAGTCTCCACCTAAATACATGGGACCAAGGATCTTGAATTCATCTTGCTGTTGTTTGACTCTTAAGTGGGGACTCTGAAGGGTTTCAACGATTGATGTCATTTACAAAATCGCTAGTTTTCGTAGTCACAGACAAACTCCTCGAAGGCCTAATCAACCACGACTTCTCTTGACAGATAGATGTAGCTAGAGAAACGATTGTACTCTGTCTGCGCACAGACAAGAATCGCAATAAAAGACATGAATTGTCTCCATCTATGGAAGCATGTCTGTCTCTCTAATCATGGACAAAATCTCAACTGTACAACTTTCCACTTTCTCCAACAACTACTTGATCTGGTGTGAGAACACTTCAGTGATTCTAAGCTCCTTAAAGTCTGAGTTGCTCAATAGGTTCGAGACTGAACTAGTCTAATCGCAAAAGTACTTCTTCACACTAATACAGCAGGCTCTACAACACCGTTCTTTAGCCTTTCCATCCTTGCCTGTAAGCCGGATAGAGCTTTATCTGGTAATGGTTCTCTTTGGCGGTGTTCCACATCACCCTGAGGCGCAAGATGTTGAGACATGGGTTCGGCTGATGTGACTGAAGGAATGTTGTAATTCCCACTTCCTGTGCTCCCCGCGGCCGCTGCTTGGATATTCTTCATCCTTTCTCTGATAGCATTCAGAGTTCCCCCGACCACTGTACTCTGCACATTCGACTCCCCGTGCGAATCGCCTGAAGAGTCGTAAGAAGAAGTATCCGCATGCCTCTGATGCATTGCTTGCCTCACTGCAGAAGAATCAACTGAATAAGAAGCAGCACGACCGTTACCGCTTCCGACTTCTGCATCCTCTCCGTACGAGTTGTGTTGACTAGACATATGAGAAGAATTGTGATTTGGAGCTCCTTTCGTGGGATAACCCATGTTTGATGACGATAAGGGGGGAGGAGAGACAACCGACATACTAGCAGGTGTTCTTCCAGATGCAGCACTCTTCTCCATCTGGGCCAAACCATCTCGGATGTAGGTCCGGAAGGCCATGCTGGCATTCTGAAGCTGTGAGAATATGTCAACTTGTGGATACAGTTGCGTTATTCGATACAGCTCATACAACCCTACAGTACAAGTTTGCTTGTCTCCAATCTTTTTGAAGATTGCAGCAAGCTCTTGTTTTAGCTGTGTCTCCGCAGAGCTCGTTGAATTCGAGGATGGTCCATTACCGCTATTATCCAGCCAGTGCCCTTGGGATCCGGTTCCTGCTGGGGTCAGCATATGCGTCCTCGTTGCGGCTAAAGTTTGCAAGTTGAGGTCAATGTAAGCAAGAATGATGGGCTGAGGTTCAGAATCAATTGGAACCATAGACAAATGACCTTTGACTGAAGTTCCCCTCAGCTTCACGAGCTCATGTAGCACTGTCTTCACCATTCGTAGAGGCTTGTCATCAGCTCCAGCTCGTTTCCGAATCTCTTCCAGTCCCAGCTGCTGAAAGTAGTCGTGAATGCTTTGCAGAAGTCGATCCAAGTCGACTTCATTTATTGTTGAACCCAGAACCTTCGTGAGCTTGATGAGGCACTTCACGACCAGATCCGAAAACCGGTGAGATGACAGCATGTTTCTATCCCCTTTCCCTGAGCTTGGCTGCAGAAGATCAATGAGTACCACAAAGGCAGATGTACGATTGGCATTCTCAAGAATCTTCAGCACAAGCACATTCAGCGCTTTCAGAAGTTGACTACCATCATCCAGCAAAGGTACTCGATCATCCAGCAGCCACAGCAGCAATTCAGTGAAAAGAGAATGGAGACTCTCTTCCTTGATCTCGTAGGCAAGCCTTTTGATCTGAAATGTTTGCATCAGAGTGTTCAAAACGTATTTACAGGCCCTAGACGAAGATCCCGAGAGCCCAGCCTTGAAGGTGGAAGCAACTCTTGCAGACAGACTGCACACCAGCCGATCAGCAGTGCTGACAAGTTCTTCCATAAGTATGCCATCCGCATCCCCTATAGCTTGTTCTAACTCATAACATATGAGTTTCATACCCTCGACAACCTGTTCTGAGACAGTGCTATTTTCTATTACAAAAATTGCATCCTTCCAGTCAAGTGGCCCAACAGGCTGCATGTGAGCTGTACCCCTGAAATTCGACTCCAACGAGTTGGAGTTGTTTGAACCCATGCTTGATAGAGCTTGATGGTTAGACTCAACCATCTGCTCTGCATCATCGACTCCATTCTCCCGGGGCGATCGTCTCATAGCACCTCGAGCCTCACCCGGCTTTCCCTCCTTTTTCTTCTCCATCTCTCTCGCCTTCCACTTGAATTTCTCGTCTAGTAAACTTCTTTGTACTTCGGATAATCTCCCAATATACCTCCAGACATCCTCACCTAGAATTGCATACGCAACTGCCAAAGTATTCAGGCTTGCTTTTCGTAGATCACCATCTCGCTCAGTTGTCAAGGCAACGACCGACTGCAAGCCCTTTCCAGATCCTCCGACTTCCACTCCATACCGTTCGATCAGAAATCCGAGCTGTTCCACACACTCGATCTTCGTCCGGTTATTCTTTGACCGCAGGCCATCGAGGAGGAATGTAAATATTTTCGATGACGGGTACAGACAGCAGAGGAGCCGCACCAACTCCCTGAACTTATCCCGTACTTTCTCCATATTGTGACCAGACTTCTCAACCAGACAAGGGAAGATGTAATTGGCTTCACAGTCTGTCATTGAGTAACCCTCCGCCTTGAATGCCAACACCAACTCCTGGAGAAAGTCCAAAACCTTCAGCAGACATGTGGTATTTCCTTCATAAACACGAACCACAATCCACCGAAGTAACACATCGAGAACCTCCATCATCTCCCTGACTTGAGTCGGAATCGATTTTTGCAGTATGTCGACCCCTTCCACCTGCTTCTTGAAATCAGGACTCAAAAGCCTTCGATGTACATCTTCTCGGAAGTACTTAACTACATCTCCCTCCACATCCTGGATCTGCTCCCCTCTTTGCTCAGAATCAAACTTGGGTCTGCGAGAATGCAACTTCTCTCTCTCCTCCTTGTTGCAGTCTTTCAGATTGAAAAGTGCCTGGGTTTGCTGTGCGGCATCCGCCGCGTCTGTTTTGGACTCCTTCCCACCGGCACCTCTACCCATTGGGACTCGCTTGCCAACAGTCGGGGCACCAGGCTTTTGGGCGGCACCTGCCCTTGCATTCCGATTTGGAGCTTCATCCACGATAGCCTCCGCAGGGGCACCGCCTCCAGACTTCAAGCCATGCTTCTCCAACAGGGACTGGAATAAAGTCAACGCAGGACCATGCAAACTTCTGGAAGCCCGATCCACTGTTTCATGCCCACAAGCTTTCACAACCTCTATGAGGAGGCCTTCCGCAGCCTTCCTGACTTCTGCACTCTTGTCCTGTACACCAGCAACAATAGGTTTGATCAGCGTGATCACTTCTTTCATATCATCTGCTCCTGCCACATGTCTGGCGAACCAGTCGAACATGTCCTTCCGCCCATCGGCACAGAGTTTCGTATCAAGAAGAGCTGGAGTCAGAGACGAAAGCATTTTGCTCATTTGCAGCACCAACAACCAAGCGTCCAGGGTCTTCACTGCAGCCTCTCTCATCATCTTTTTGTTATCACCGAGACATTTCAAAACATCCGCGTGGATAACCTTGAAACTTTTTTCAAAGCCGGGTCCCATCGCCTGAGCAACCTTCCCCAGCGTTGCCAGGGTCATAATTACAAGATTCTTATTCGAGTCACTCAAGCGACCCTTCAAGGCTCCTATTAGTTCACCTGTCCCCGCCGCTTGAATCCGCATGTTAGCCTCTTGAAGTATAGTGTTGACAGACTCGATCGCTTCTTGCCGCACCTTCCAGTCTGCACTTGTAAAGTTTTTCAAAATAGCTGCTGTAACCTTTCCACTAATGTCTTCCCTAGGAAGACCCTCAGCTCCACCCCCGCCAGCTCCACTCGCGGCTGCCCGAGTTGACCTTTTGGGAGCAACAGCTTCACCGACATAGGGATTCTTGTCACATTCTGCATTCACCAACGTCTGAAGAGCTGGCTTCAGATCGGAGAAGTAATTTTTGATATCCGGTCCACAGAATTTGTGAAGCAAACCCAACAACTTCACCGCAGCGTTCCTCGTGGCAGCCGTACTCGACTGGAGGGCCACATCCTTGCAGAAAGTTATCACCTCCTTCACTGGAATAAGTCCAACCCCAAAGTCTTCCAGGGCTGTCAGCATCCAAGTAAGGCCCTCGCTCACAACCTTTGGATTCTTATGATCTTTCCACAGTGTTAGCAGCCTGTTGATAACGAATGAAGGCTCCACAACTTCACAGAAAGAAGTAAGACACTTCGTCGCTTGAATGCGAAGTTTGATATCTGAGGACTTTTCTACGACTCCAGAAAGACAAAGCACGACACATCTCTTTGAGAAGTGGTTAGACTTCTCTGCTGTGAAGCTGATGATTTCCATGCTCTTTTGCTGGACCTGGACATTCTTCTCAGCCCATCCGGGCAAAATCGAGAGAAACCGCACGAGGGTCTCGGTCAAAGGGTCCAGATCAGTCGCCTCTTCCAGCTTCCTCTGCAAGTTACCAATACCCTCCAGCCTTTCCTTCCAGACTGCGCTTTTGAGGTTTGCTACGATATCACCTCCGAAATGTCCCTCAATCCGGGCTTCTAAGTCCTCTGGAGATACGTCTCCACCTTCCAAATCTTCTGGTTTCTCGACCCGGGCTGCGGCCTTCGCCGATCCGGAGCTTCCTCCGTCTGCCTTCTTGGTTGTGGTTGCTGGTCCTTTGGTTGTCGCGGCTTTCTTCCCAGGTGGAGGTGGTTTCTTGCGGGCTTGCCCCAAGAGGCTCGCTGCAGATTTAATTCCACCGCTAGGCATCGAGTCACCTGCTGAACCTCCGCCAGCCCCACCTCTTGGGGCAACCACAAGTGGTGCGCTACTAGGATCAGGACCCATTAATTCGGCAAGCTTCTTTCTCCTAACATCGTCCAACTTCTCCAATGACTTTTCTAGGGGCTTCATGCCTACTAGCTTCGCTAGAGCAGCAATGCCACTGAATGCTGCATCTCTGACTTCCGGGGTACCATCATTGAGACTCTCCAAAAGGATTGGAACATATTCCTTATACACCTTCATAATGTAAGCTTTGTTGTTACTCTCAATGCAGAAACCAACCCAGTTTAGACACGATGATCTAACTGAAGGCACCTTGTTTTTGGTTGCAACTTTCACCTCTTCGATGACATCCCCAAGAGCAAAACAGCCACTCTTGTGCATGGTTCGCAGAGTTTCCATCACTGCTTCCACCATGACTGCCTTCTTCTCCTTCAATCTTTCTAGTAGAAGAGGGAGTAGAAGCCTGGAACCTCCACTGTAATCTTTACGTAGACCCCTAGCTAGGTTGCCCGCTGCTTGCACAGCTTCCACTGCTACGGCCAGGTTCACATCCGTGATGAGTTTCTTCAGGATTCGAGACACTTCTACGTAGTCCCCCACGGCCAGTCGTCTAGCAGATGCTAATTTGGTGAGTTCCGCAACAGCATCCCTCCTTTCGGACCACTTCGTTGCTTTGTACCCTTCCCAAAAGGTCGTCTTCTGGAGGGGTCCCAGAATCTCCACCGGGTCCATCAGGTCATAATCATCGGTTTCCTGATGGACGGCTGGTTCATCCGCCGACGCAGCATCGGGTGTGTCTACTGGGACGTCCGCTTCACACTCCTTCAATTGCTCTGATCTGATCCTCCGCACGGGCTTAGAAAGTCCCGTGACACTATCCACTTCCAGTTCAAGCTCCTTCTTCATGGTGTCTCGCATCTTCTCGAATAGAATGGATTTGACAGTATCCTTGCTAATCCAGCGGCACAGCTCGATGGTTAATCCCTTGGCAGATGCCCTCACATTTTGGTCCTGATGATCAAAAAGCTCGGGGAGCATTTTCAAAATTCTCTTGGGAGGAACGACCTTGGTCCCGAATTGACTGACGGCTTGATACATTACATCGATAGCAGGCACAACAGCCTTGGCTACCTTGTTTTTTATCGCTTTCTCCATCACGTCCAGGAACACTTCCGTCGCCTCGAGCTCCACCCAAAGAAGAAGCACCATCTGTGCCTTCTCAATGGTCTTCACACGGCCAGTAAGGCATTTCACTACAACCGAGTCGCATATTTCCTTCGCGTACCGGCCGGAATCTGCATCGACTACTCTCAGGTACGCAATCAAGGCGTCAAGCGCCTTCTCTTGCGCCGGCGCATTTGCGTCAGCCACAGCCTTCCTAAACAGCGGACCGAAGTCTTTCAGCTTAGGATCCTTCGGATCGCTGATCGAGTCACAAAGCGCAGCGATATCGGTATTGGCATCAACTCTAACCTTCCAATTCTTGTGTGCCAACCTGTCCTCCCATGACAGCTTCTTACATTCCTTGAGTAGTTTTTCATCTTCAGACATAGTAGATAAACCAACAATAACAGCCAATCAAGGCAAGTATTCCCAAGCTCCTCCAAGATCTCCACGCATTGCTTTTACGAACGATCTGCCACTGCCAAATTCAAACAACATCGTTCGTGATGGACGCCTTAGCATCATCTGAGGACAGTATGCACAATTTAGTGTGGACACAAAATGCCTGCGGTCCGTTAAGCTTTACACCACGAAGGCCCAAAACCTGATCATCAACAGCACGCCGCGCTCAACCTCCCATATGCCGCCCAAAGATTGTCCCGGCGCCAACAAATGCAATAAGGGAATGCGCAATCACGAACATGCAAAAGAAGCCACGACATCACCAAAAACAAGGCAAGAATGTGCACCTGTACTGAAAGCACGGCGGCGCACAAAACTCCGCAAATGCCTAGACCAACATCCACATCGACACGAAAATCACCCTTCTCCTCCTCCTCCTACTGCTCGCACCGGGCGTCTTAGCAGGGCCTGGGGCTTCTTCCCCTGTCCTTCTACTCCTGCTCCTCCCCTTCAAAAGGAGCGCATACGGCAGACGAACCACACGCGGAACCCAACGTCCGACGTCCACCTGACACTGGGGACTCGCTCCGCTTCCCCGCGCGCCAAAGCTCGACAATGCTGTCGATGATCTGATCACTGGACCAATCCGCGCGACAGTTCCATGATCTACTTCGCTGTAGGAGGAGGAGAGAAGTCGAAGAAGATGGAAACCGAACGCAAGGCAGCAAATGTCAGGTCTCTTGCGTCGTCGTCAATGCGCGGGTGACAGACAGACAGACCGACCGACCGACCCAAGTCGGCACGACAAGGGACGAGACGAAACGAGACGGGAGAGATGGGATGGAATGGAATGGGATGGGATTAGAACGAGAGAGGGACATCCAACGAGGAGGAGAGAGAGAGAGAGAGAGGGAGGGAGGGAGGGAGGGAGAGAGGAGAGAAGATGCTTGAGACTCGCTCAACTCACAGACAGGCGCACGAACCACAAGAGAGGGAGACGCAGACAGAGACACAGCACTTGTACCCTCGATTTCCTCCCCACTCTTCCTCCTCTCCTCCTTGCTTCGTCTCTCTTGTTCTCTCCTCTCCTCTGCTCCTCTGCTCTCCTCTCCTCTCCTCTGCTCTGCTCGTCTGTCCTCTGTCCCTTTCCCTTTCCGTGCGTGGCTGCTTTTTCCGCGTTTTACTTCTGCCTCTGCCTCCTCTGCTGCTGCTGCTGCTGCTGGGCCTTCTTCTTTCCGCTGCTGCTGCTGCTGCTGCTGCTTCCTCTTCTTCGGCTTCGTCCTTGGGCCTCGTCGGGGCCGACGCTCAAATGTCCGCTTTCCCTCGACGTCGTGGCCGCGGCTGCACTCTTTCGCTGGCTCCGCCCTCGCGGCCTTCGTCCTCCGTCTGCCTGCGCTCCCTCGGCGCCACTCCAAGACAAAAGCAACAACATTCCACTGCCCTACAGTGGCCCGTGGAACGCACTTAATTGGTCCGCCCTCGGCCCTTCGCTAGGGTAGGAACTCCGCGGCCCGCCTTTGCTTGAGCTTGAGCTTGAGCTTCGCTCGGGGCCTGGCTGTTATTATTGGAGGGTTCCGCCAGATCCTCCGTCCGGCTCGCTCGCTCCGACGCCTCCTCCTCCTTCTTCTTCTTCTTCCTCCCTCACATGGCGCAGGTTACTCCGTTTTCCCGGTTGCCCCTCAGGTTTCAAAAACAGACGGTGGAAGGTCAATGGTCAACCTGCTGCTTCCTGTTATCGCCCCCGCTCTCTCTATCCGTTACCGATCAGTGTTGAACGGACGGCGGCTCCCCTGTACTTGTTATGCCCGGCTCGTAACAGCTCTTCTGGCTCCTTACCCCTAGGTACGAGTAACCTTGCCACGTCCAAGTACTCCCTCGTCCTCCTCCTCCTCCTCCTCCTTATGCTGGACCGGACCGGATTCTCCTACACCGTATATCGGCCGGTATACGGCGAGAGCATCCTATCATGCTTATCAGGATGTGAATACCTGGAATTATTACTGACACTTTGCCTGATGGAATCACTGTAGTCTGAGAGCCTGTGAATGAACAAGTCTGAGATTCCTCGGCAATTTCAGAACGCCCTAAGCCTGCCCTTCGACTTCTACGTTCACTTCCAGTACGTCCCATGACCTGGACAAGGAAATCTGCAGAGTATGAGTTGCGGAGTAAAACAGTGGCAATTGTAAGGTCAGCGATTTTGTTTTATTTTCGTGCTTTTTTATTATGCTTATTGACTTGCTGTGCAGATGAAGATTTTCTCACACGCTTTTGAGAAATTTACATCGTTCTGGAATTCGAGCATTGATATAGATCATGATGGAGCAGTTAATCGACCTCAAATAATTGAATACGGGCGGTGGAGGAAAGCCAAACCTTGAGAAAGAATATGGGATGCTCAGGAAGTGGAGCCTCGGACTCTGTTCAGCGTATAAACCACAAACAATGCAACATACATTGTCCTCTTCGTGATACAATTATTCTATTCGAACGTATCGACTTACAAACTTTGTGGAGATGATATATATGATCTGGCGCCTTGTGATCTTCCTTGACACATCTGAATGACTCGTAGATTCCGAGAGCAACTTTACACGTGAAGAGAATAATCCAATTGTCCATCTGTGTCTGGCTACGTCACAAATCAAATCACATCTTAGAGTCAGCAAGTATTTCCATACTTGCTCCACCTCGAGTTGTCCTTCCGGATGTAACAAGTATACATCCGGATCTGCGGAAAGCAGCGGTAGCAACTATCCAACTATGAAGAGTATGAAGAGTACCATATCAAACAACTTGTTAACACCTCATCATCGATACTGAACGGTAACATGGAATTAGCTTTTATAGTGTCACAGCCGTAAATGTAATCTCTTGCAACCACAATATTTAATAATAATCCAAATGATTATTTCTAACAATACCTCATAATTATGTCACCAGTTAGAGCTTTGTGCATACCCGTGAAAGCACACGACGTAAAGTATGTTATACAATAACGAAACAAGTAATGATACACTCACCGTCTAGACTGCTAACCTCCTTCACACGGTTTCACAAATATGTTGATGTTATTTATGACATCGTGTAATTTTCAGAGTAGGTTAATAATTCGATTACACTTCTTTTTGATGATTGATGTTTCATTGGCAACCCATCCATGTGAATAAGTGATATACTTTCAAATGATTGTTTAAAACACACTTACAAAAACTTGGTAATTTCCGACCAAATGTGGTTATGTTTGATCCTGGTTAATTTAAATGCATATAAGCATCATCTCCAACTCAAATAGAGTTTTAGCCTAATTCTAATCAAAGTGTAAAACATAACGGTTATCACTTAATGTCACGTATCCATTTGCATTCACCGTAGCAAACACAAAATCAATATATAAAAGGAGCGACTAGTTATCCCTCCTAGTGAGGGATAACTAACCCCTCCCTATATAAATTTTAACATCTTCTGTTTCAAAATTCACAAGGTCAAAAGTGATACCAACCTCATACATGTTAATAATAAAAACATCAATGCATGAGATTTCATCATCAAGAAAAAATGCATGGTGTGAGTTGGGGGTCAATGCATGCTAGTGAATATATTCTTCATAATGCATCTATGAAGAATATTATGAAGAAGAACATTATGAAGAATATATTCACTAGCATGCATTCTCGTTAAGCAAAAGCATAAATAAACCTTACTATTTTAAATGATGAAATACAAACAAATATGAATATTTAGCTTACAGAAATTTCAACATATAATAGAATATCTTTCTTTATATGTAATGCACATGCTATTGGATCATGTGCCTTGCATACATCTTTACTCGAAACATATGCTGAAAATCTGTAATCACAAATCCGAAAATTAATGAGGGTACATACAATCAGCACTCATCCATACTGCTAATTATAAGACATTCTCTTCATCGGAATATATTATTTCTTCAACTTGACAAAGAGGAGGATTTTTTCACACGAATTCTCTTTACATTTTAAGAAATCTTCAACCCAATCACCTTCATAATTCTTTATCAAAGTTTGTATCTATGATAAAGATGTAGAGGAATTAGGATTTGTGCTAAAAGGTAAGTGAATGGACACCTTATACTTGAGGAATGTATCTCAGAACTTTGTAACACAAAGATTATATAGATACAATACATCCTCAATAACTGCATAAGTTTGTTAGGTAAAAAATTCGTACTTCACTTGCACTCTTGGAATCAGCAAGTTGTTTATCAAAGTCATACATCTTTTTGGAATCATTGTACCTTGGAAATTTACGTTAACAGTACTACATGCATTCAAGCCTATAAATGAAGCGCAATATTCATGTGATCAAAAGCAGGGTAAATGTGATCTACATGGAAAACTTCAAGTTATTAGTACCAAATCACTAGACAGAAGAACTCAATATTCCACTGCAGATAGGAGAGCAAAATACTCTCTATCAAATACTAGCAGCGGATTCTGTAAGGACATTTCACTGTGTTTAACTCATGTTGATACTAGAACATGAATTACATGTATTGAATATATATGATTGACTTTCTTTGAAGTGAACATATAAGTTGAATATCTGCTGAATTGTAGGAGTTCTTTTGTGTGAAAAACTTCTCAAACATCAAGTAACACAAAGAAAGGGGGTTCAGTCAATAATAATCAAGTCCAGAGAAATATTGAATATACCTGAATTTCAGTTGAAAATAATACTGTAGCGCAGAGCATGTTCTGATTTTGATAATTGCGGAAAATTTGTGGAGATTTATACTAGACCTGAATCGCGATTCACTCAACATGATTTTAACTCCGGGGATACTCATGCAAATGTTGAAACTTTAATACACGCTGAGAATATGTATATAAATTGAAGCGGGCCAAGTAACACAAGTGATGGCCTTGTCCATGTTTTTTTGAAGTTTAAGTATGTAATTATATCATCGATACTCAATCACTACGTTGGGAGATACTCTCTAGGATAGCTACAGTTACTGTACTGTACCATGTGGTACCTACGAAGTAAATGCGCTGATATTGGACGTGAGGGTCAATCTCTCGCGAACACTCTCAGCGTTAACTACGTAACGTTGCATGGTTCTTCGATTCGTGCATGGTCGTATTCAACGTTCTCGGGCGGTAAATAGTAAATCTCTCGGTAGAAAGAGAGGGAATGCTGCTCCGCACCACTTTATCACGTAGTAGACCGTAGGTAACTTATTCAAAACAGATAAAGCAACAAAAACAACGGTAACGGAGGTAACGGGTATGGATGAGGAGTCCTGCGTTTGGACACAGCCCAAACCGACATCTACAGGTGAACCACGTACGTGGCTTTGCTCTACTTCTTCCTATTTTCTTACCATATAACTTCACATTGTCAATGACATATATATTGCATGGATATGCGGGAACCCATGCCTCCGTCATAATCTTGATATCATGAGTCTGAATGCTTTTATCGATGTACGAGAAGAACAAGCTACTGCACGTTTTGCATTTCTTTTTCATAGATCCGTGGGCTTGTGCAAGACATCTCAAAGGTTGTATGGCATAAAGCGATGGGAAGGGAAATGATTTGTCAACCGTTTTTCAAAAGCGCAAGATTGCAAAAGAGGGCTTGGAATCGATTGAGGCTTGGAATCATAGCATGCACATAAAGGCTTTAGCCTACGACCAAATATTGTACTCATTGGGGATGAATGGGAAGGTCTAGCATGAAAAAATCAATTGCACCAACTGAAACCTCTTTCAAGTTACGAACATATCTCAGTTGGTATGTAAGAAATGATTTTTTCATATGCCTGCCATATTCTAAATTCAAGTAAATTGTGAAATATGAGTATGTGAAGCTTTCATAGCAAGCGTAAAAGAAGTTCATGATAAACTCAACTATAGATTCAAAAAACATGCGGATTGAATCTATTAAAATTGATATTAACATGAATAATGGGAGTGTGATTAATCTTAAACTAGAAGATATGAATCTATCTTCCGGATGCTCCATGCAGCTCAAATGAATATCTCTCTTCAATACTCAATAGAATTCCTCAATACTTAAGTATTTTAGTAGCAGCGTTACACACCGCAAAACCTCCTGATTAGCATTGTCTCATGTATGATCAACTACAACCATTACAAGTACAATGAATCACTCACCATGAGTTTTTATACTGAACACAATTACCATTCTCATCTACACATTGACTTGTGAAATTTCTTAACTCTCTGGTTTAACATGCAAATGCTAAATTATTCATGTTTCATATCTGATATTAATCACAATATAATCCTTAATAAATTTATCGTTACGTCTAGAAGAAAATCCTAAAATTGAAAAAATAGTCGGATGATTTTTAATGTGAATCATGAAACATCATCTGTATAGAATATGCTAGTACAAATTAAAGTGATGTTCGGTAAATATAATAACTTGACACTCATAGTAAAATCACTTTATAATATAAGAAATATGCTTCTGAAATATCAGAATTTAAACAACTGAAATTTTTATTGAAATTGTAGCAAGAAAGTGATTATGCACAGATTGTTAAAATACCTTTTCCTTGTGGTGATTTCATCCGATCACATAACATGAACTGGGAATGTTACTTTTACAGATGAAAAATATAGTTATAAAATTAGAAAATCAGTAAAATTTACATACATAATAATGATTTGATAGATTTTACACAGTTTATCTAAACTATAGCGGGGAAAAAATATATTGTAACGATGCTTAAAATTTCTTTATTTTCAGAAAATAGGAAAAAAATTGAAAGCATTTAAAATTAAAGAACATCTGCCACAATTTCATTCGTGAAATCTCCAGGTTTATAAGTTTAGATTTATGGATGCCGATAAGATTTTCGAGGAATATTTAATCAATATGAATAGAGAAAATTCTATATTGAAATATTCTAAACTAAAATTCTAAATATAAAAATACGTTTTATTTTGGAAGACAGATGTGTGTAAGTAATAAGGTATTTGCAAAGTACATCTTATGTTTATTTTAGATTCGCAATGAAACATTACGGACCTCGAAGCGAGCAAGAATATGGGCTGAAGAGGAGATAGGTACAGAAAAAATAAGAAAAAAGCAGATTATCTACCAGTTAACAGCCTCAGTCATACTTGAACCTTCCGTTTTAATAAATATTTTTCTATGATCATAATTACATATTTTTCTCCTCACTAAGAAAATGCATGACTTTTTTTCGATCTCCAGCCAAGGTGTAGGCTGTGTGATTGTAGCGCCGTATTGATAATGATATCGGAGATGTATTACACTTAAAGTGCGCCGTGGAACATTCATGTCATGAGAAAAGGCAAAGGGCTGTACTTGGGGTCTCTTCTAGCAAATTTAGGTCATGTTAGACAGAGTTCGTGTGATGTTATAATAATACCACCGAACATTGAATTTCGCTCAAAAGGTTAGGATTTGATTAAAGTGATGCACCTCACAGCGATTGATGCACTCTCATGACAAGCTTCCGTGTGCGATTTGTGAATGAAATTTATTGCGTAATATAATTATGTCCGTTTCTCCATTACCATGACCACAAAACGCACCCTATATTTTCCACATATTAAACTTGTTGGAAAGTGGCTCTGAATATTTCATGATTTTCGAAGAGCAGGTAACGTAGAAACGATAGAACTGGGCCTCGTACCTGAATCCGGTACAAAATCAATATAGCAAACTATATTCGAACATAAAGGGACACACTTGATTGGATAGGCTTTCGAGTACGGGACAGGTTGCAGTGTACAAGGATAAGAATCCTATGAGAGAAGTCACCGCGTGCATTATCATGGAACGAAGAGAAGCCTTCTGAAGAGAAGAATTATTAAAGAACTCAGCGCTCCATGGAAACAGAATCTTGGACAAGGACTCGCATTCCCAGATGCCCAAGCTATACGAAAAGAGATCACTCGACGAGCACCATCTGGGTCACCGATTCATCATTCTGCATCCGAACTTGCTTTCTGTTTGCTCTGTGATGGGCCGCAGTCAAATCTCAACGTAGAATCAATGGAGCAATGATCGAAGAAAAGGTTGGTTGTCATGACCCAGCGTGTTGGAGAGATGTGTTCCATCTCGAAAGCAATATTTCGGCAACTTTTCTGCATAACGCGGAGTCATGAGAGTGAGGGCAGCTCGAGGTATTTTCAATCCCTTTTTTCTCAGACCATGTTTCCTTCTTAGTGTCCTAGAAATGTTGCAGACCATATAGAAAAGAAAAGGGTTTTGCGGTCTTTTTACAAGGTGCTTAGAAATCTCTTATTCTGCTCGATGAAGGAGAGGTCCGACTGAAAAGTTTCCAGTGAAAAAAATGGAGACTAAAACAACTTTCTTGGAGATGGCGATCAAGGTAGATTTTCAATTTGGTAAGATCAATTTCTTCGTTGTTTCTTGCCTTATTCTTGCCCGAAATTAGTGGCAGCGTTCTGTGCATATTGTTCTTTCTCCTCGGGCTCCCTTTGGAGGCTCACGCCGTCCTTTCAGTGCATGACGCGCGAGAAGATTCAAAAACAGGATGGGAAGACCCCATCAAGTCGTAGAGGGAAGGAACATTTGATTAGAGAGTAAGCTGTAAAGGCTACTCCACCAGGTGCTACTCACATCACACTAATATTTGACTCTCACCACAGCCTACGCGATTTTTTTCGAGCCGAATGCGAACTATAAATCATAAAAGGAGAGAGAAACGAGGAAAAGGGAATTCCTAATTTAGCACAAATCCAAGATACGGTCTCGAGAAGCTCGCCGTCTACAAAGCTTCTTGGCCTTCTTGAAGCAAATGTTTTCTGTTCCTCTCTTGGACTGGAGTGCATAAGAAGCCACAATCGGGGTGAGGTTTTTCCACCTATGTCGTAGGGGAGTCCTCGAAATACGCTAAGAGAAATCAGTGAAACCATTTCGTACCCAAGACTTTCAATTCAACTACTTTTACATCTTAGGTATGCGTTCCCTTGTCTGGCTTATGTATCCTTCTCTTCTGTAATTATCGCCCACATTTACATGAGAAACATCTATCATTGGAGGGCCATGAAATAAAACACCAACTAACCTGTTGCCGAACTCGATGAACACCCGCCTCATGGTGCAAAGTTGGAAAAACTCCCCACTTCTTTCGGCTTCTTCGATCGACGTTAGGGGATTGATTAAACACTAACTCCCGGAGGCTGTTGGAGCAGCTCATTTAGAAAGGGGGACAGTTTTTGATTCTCCTTTCTTTGTGGATGTGGAAGGATCATGATCGCGTCAGGGTCAAGTTTCTCACATGTATAACCAGTTTGGAGGCACATGGTGTCTTCTTCACACGCTGTAAGACGGTAGTAGGAACTTTCTTAGAAGGGAGATCCGTCGATCGATCGATGCGTAGCAATGTGTGTCGCATCTGTTATCCGGACCCAGATGCATTGACTGACCTGACGATCCGAAAAATATCGATGGAACATATACATATTTCAGCATCACGTATCTTCTTCTCTCACTGCGCCATGCAGCTGCCTGTCTTAACAACCGTAACGCAACAATCTTCACATGGTCCACACCGAAGCAATCATGCAAAGTGCAGAAGCCACAGAGAAACACCAACCAGTGCAGCCAATGAACTTTGCAAAGTGAGTTTCTCCTCGCGCAATCTTTTCTTTTCCGATATTATCCAGATGCTGTCAACAAATATTGATTCTTCCTTGAGCAATGCCCGCGCAAGGTCTGTTCTATTCTAATCAGCGGCGAATAAACTAATCGGCAGACAAGAAGTTCCTGGAATGGATCCGAATATAAAGAAATGGTCATCCAACTGTTGGAGCCTGCACGAAGAAGCTCAACGCACTGGAGAAAACAGGAGGAGAAGGTACCCGAAGAATAGTTTTTGCAACCGTAAGAGACTTTGCGGTACAGGTATGTAAGCTTGTAAGTGGTCATTCGGTTTGACTAATCTTGCTGGAGGTTTCAGTTTCAGGTTGAGTCCAAATTTCCCGCGGTGGCCTCTCTACGAAGAAGGGGACGCATGTACTGCACGGAAGCAGCCCAGCCACCGAGGCAAATGTGGTCGTTGCAAGCCTGCCCTCTTCTCGTTCCCGCTCTCGAGTGGGAAGAGGACAAGATACGAGATTCAATTTGAGAGGAGTGGTGACGAGAACGAGCGACGAGGAAAGGAAAAGAGAAAGGTGAGCTACAAAGTCATCTTAGGGGAAATGTGCTCTATTCTAGTCTATTCCACTCACTGATTGCGCTTCGGCCTTCAGGAATTGAGCTGATCTTCCTTGACTTTACACGTGGGACGGATCATTTTCCTGGGCGTATTTCCAATCTGGTTGCTTGTCCTATTACTGCGACGATGCGATCGATGACATTCTGATGAAGAATCTGGGGTCCTTACGTCACAAACCTGGATTTGAACCTTTGCGAGGGGCCTTTTCGTACATGCAGGTGGAGGCAGTGTTGCAGAATCTCGGAACAGGTGGCTTGAGATCAGGGACCACTTCGGGCGCATTCGGGAAGCAGACGAAGAGGTTAGCTCACTTCCCCTCTCATCGAGTTCTTGGTCAGTCGTTTTCTGAGCTTTTGACATCGGTCTCTCGTATGTCTTGTCGAGGTGGCACCGAATTACATGCTGTGACAAGTGCTTACGCTTCTGCTAGTACTTCCAATGATCGATCGACTAGGACGGCCAGCATAATTGTTGTTACCGCTTTCTGGAGCTTTGGTTGTACATGTAGTCCCCGAGAAAATCTCTGACATTTATTACAACAACTGGCCAGAATAAGCTTTCCGACGAAGCTTCGACGCATGCCAGCTACTCTTAGACATGCACATCTGTCTCATGCGCATTCTTCACAACACAGGCTTCCATAAACAGATGCCTTGATCTGCAGGCTCTAAAACTGCATGACCCGATGTCGGTCATTACCTTTGGCACAGAAAGTGCGATTAACAAGTAAAAGCATTCAATTGGTCTAACTACTCAAAGTGATTACTGCCAAACTATACAGCAGACAGGTGTTTTCCTTCGTAGAAAATTGGTTGTGGCATCTTCTTCCACGGTACTAGAAGCTGCCTCGGTAACCTAGGTGGTTGAGATGAATTTTAAAATCAAGTCTGCAACAACAGATGGTTGTTCAACGTGCGGAATGTGCCCGGCATCTTTCACTAATTCTAGTTGTGGTCGTGGAAGCTCCTTCCGAAACCTCTGCATTGACGTGTACAATACAGTGCATAAGTATTCCGAGTAAGCACAAAAGAAGACGCTTACGATACGTGTGCATCCGTGAATCAGGGAAGCACAGAGAAAATGTGGAAAAGGGTGAAAGTGCAAAACCTCCTTCTACAAAACACCCATAGAGAATTCCTGCCTTTAACAGGCCCTGTTTGACTAAACATGACCGGGGACAACTCAATGTCTGATCTGTCAAGACATTCGGCAGCTATGCTTCGCTTTCCAACTAACCTCAGCATACTCCCTCGGCAAAATCTTATCTTGCTCTCCCCATATTACGAGAGTTTCTTGTTGCACCTGTGCAGGTTCGATAAATCGTTTATCAGTCCACGTTTTACAACGGGGCTGCGAACAGAATTGCAGAGAAAGAACATTCATGGCGAATCAGATCAATACTACCGGGAAGCTAAAAATCTGCTGAAGGCACACTCTGTCATAAATTCGGCAGCCTGATGTTGAGCCCGATGACATTGAATGCGAAGGATTCAATGTCAGTTAATACATGCTCCACTTCAAAATCATCAGAGAAGGTTACCTCGGGTATTTTCGAGGCCACATTGTAGCCTCCGCTAAGCATGAAGTTGACAGACGAATCAGCCCAACCAGGCACCAAACAATGCAGTCTCCCCACCTGCGTCATACAGAAAGGGAGCACCATTCTTGACGTTTGACGGCGGCCGAATTCGCGAGGGAACGCTTTGCAAAATGGAACACATTGGGAGTACGCAGTCCTTTCCGTACATAACAGGACTTACAGCCAACAACTGAAACAGGCAGGAGTAACAGATGAAGAAACACACAGATCTTACCCGCATGCCATCTGCTATAGCGCTCATTGTGGTTTTGGCGAAAGCTAGATAGAATGCGTAGGATCGAAGAGGGACACTCTTCAGAAGTGCGATCTGTAAACGATACGAGCAGATTTGTAAGCTCCTTTATGAGAAGCACTCCACAAGATGTTCTGAGGTCAGAGAGGCTTTACACAGAGTTGGCGTGACAGGTCAACCAAGACAAGTTGTGCACTAGCCTCACCCCGGCATAAGCCATAAATTTTGGTATTGTAGCCATATTGCCAACACCTTCAGCAAATCCTTGGGCATCAATCAAAACGAGTTTCGCAACCTGCATTCACAAGAGTACGCCATGAAGGACTTTACGGCTCATGAGTAAGAATCAACAAAACTTTCGAACCTCCCTGTGTATAAACAACGAAGGTGTTACCGTCTCAGTGATGACCATCGTTCAGAATCTGAGCTGAAAGAAAAAGAACTGGCAGAACAAGTAACTGCTTTCTGCGATTACGAAGGCATGGGATTACACACGAAGGCATGCTATCGAGATAGGGATTTCAGAGAAACGAAATCCAGAAGAATCACAACACTGATCGAAGGTCGAAAGATAAATGTACACCTACTGCATCAGGATGAGTCACAGCGAAGTCAATTGCTATCGAACCTCCAAGACTGGCTCCAACCAGAACCATTGGTTTCTTGATGTAGGTTTTCCAAAACTGCACAAACGATGAGAACTTACATCAACAAGCAGTTCAGTTCATGTATGACGAAGTATACGATGATCGACGTCTGAACAGAAGAAGTAAATGTCGTAGAATTGAATTTCGGCAACTCAAGTCTGAACACGAGTATTGGTTGAAGAACCATTCTGAATGATGGAGTGAGTACCTCGTAGAGATGCTCTCGTTTGGCTTCAACTCCAAAAGATGTTACTCCCTCTGCAACATCAAGCGTTGAAACGTGAGTTCTGTTCACGAAGGGCAATGCCAGCTTAGTGCAAACGACGACTTATTCCAAGTACGGGTGTGTACCTGTGTTGTTAAATCCCCAACCAAGGATGTCGACGGCATATGACTGGGCACCGCCAGCTTCCAACAGAGGAAATAGGCGCCGCCATTCCAATAGAGAACTGAGACAAGGAGCTTAAAAAAGGTTAGCAGGAGTTTTTCTTGTCGATCCAAATGTTCAGAAATCTTTCCTCTTAAGGGTCACACGTAGTGTCAATAGTACTGTCCAATTACGTTTTGCAATTTGTGGCTGCTTCAAATGATCACACAGTGCAGGTAACTTGAGTATGCTCGCCTGTCGAAGCCGTGAAGAAGCAGGACTGGAGGCTTTCCATCTCCTGCCTTGGAGACGACAGTGCTGGTCAAAATCGGTTGTTGGGAGAGACTTGTCTGCAACACAGGAGCACGATCAAACGAGATTGCTTTTTGACAACGCACAACAGTGAATAGAAATCGAAGAACGTAGAGAGCCGAATGCCTCCATATGTATAGAGTACCTACCTGAACGGGCACTTGCTGCATTCTGTAAGCCATTTCTCGGGCGGCAGGTTCTTCCAAGAACTGCACTTCTGGTGGTAAGAATGCTGGAAATACTTTTGTCGGAGTATCTACAGCGGTTGTAGCTCGCACATGCACTCTTTGCAGTGCTCTCACGTGCACGGCTCGCTTGTTTTGCATACGACTCCATGTGTTGCCCTCTAATTCTTGGCTCAGTTTGGACGCTTTCTGAGAAACAACAGGTTTCATACAATGGACTCTGCAGTTTCGCTGAAAACAGTCCACATTCTCTCTGGCTACATGATTGCAACCCCCTACATTGGACCTTGCAAACACACCTGCAGAGCTGAGTTGAATGAACGTACAATGTTAAGAACAATAACCCAGAATCAATGTCTTTATATTTCACATCATTCACATGGGAAAGATAGAACTATGACACGACCATGAAGATATCACCCATGTCTGGTAGCTCAACTGAGAGGTTTGTGAGAGCACTATGTGATCTGTAGAAGGCAGCCAGCAGCGTATTTAGATTTTCATAGAAGCGTGCCTGGACAGCCAGAAAAGAATATTTTTTTTGAACAGCTCAATGGTTTTCAGGAAAATTTCAGTAAGGGATAGGAAATGCTTTCTCAACGCCGAGCAATGTGGCAAGCGCAAAACATAAAACTCAAAACCGCACTATCGCACGCACACCCACTACGACCCGGGCTGCTTGTAGTCTAGATAGGAGATTCGAAGTGAGAGTACAATAACAAGAAATTGAGATTAGCGATCGCCTGGTCATTATCCAAAACTATCCGTGATTGAGATATTCATTCCAATCATACAGAGAACTCAAAATTGAGTCCATTCGAACGCGAATACCTCTCGCACATGCCAAACCATCAAGTGATTCCAAGAATTCATCCAACTGCGTCCGAATTTGTCCGAAACGATCGACAAGACGAATTATAAGTGCCGCCAGTCGGACGATTCGATCAATCCTAGTTCACGCATTCGAAACTAGCGACATCCGAATTTTACATGGGTTATACAAGCACTACCTAAGCTGCTGAAAACGGGACGATCTTACAAAGGCTGGTGGCCGGGCCGAGATGGTCGAACGCCAATTGAAATTCGCCTGGCGACTAAACTGAGAGATTCTGCGCACCTAAGTCTAGAGCACACATCGAAAGCTGTCAATTATCGAAACCATGTATCACATGGATAACAGATGAGGCGGGAGTGGCATTACCAGGGCGCGGCAGCGGCCATTGTCGGACAGATTTTCGAATCGATTGCGGTCTGGGACGACAGGAACCTGCCACTGCACCAAAAGGCGATCGAAGACGGTAGAATCCTGACGATCGCAACCGTAAGTCCCGGGTTCGCGATATGGCGCTGCGCTCCGGTCCGGTAACTTGGAGAAAAGCTCCACAATCCCGGTCGCGAGGCCCGAGCGTCGCGTCGTAAATGTCCACTCCAACCACGTAGAGTTCAGAAACCGGAAGATTACATTCACGGACCAGATTATATCATTACTCATTGGATCCAGATTTATACTCTGTTCTTCTATTTCAAAGTGGCCGAATGGATGTAAAAGCGAAAATAGCGTACAAGCAAACAAAGGTAGTGGAGTAAAGTGTGGGATATATGTATCAAAACTGAAATCCAGAAATAATAAACTAAAATCCTTGGGCAGATGATAGAGTATGTGTTATTATATCTACTCATAGATAGTTCTAAATTCTCGTCGATTGCAACACAAGACATCTCTCCATGTGAGTTACTAGCTCAAGCATAATCTATCATATGATAGAATGGATAGTTTTTTTCTATGTAATAATGAGACGTTATTTTTTATGATTTTAATGAACATCAAGTTATGTGAAACTCATGTATATTTTTGTGTAATGTGAAATTCAAGAAAATGTCTTGGTGTAATCAAACTAAAGAATATATAATAAGTATAAAAATTTACTCGTGAGAATAGAAAAATCACAAATCATGTTTAAGTCAAGATCCAAAATCTTACCTACTTATTCGAGCAAGAGCACAAAAATACTTGGCAGAGAGATAACCAGCTTCACTAATATTGAATCTGAAGTTTAGAAGATTGTATGTTCATCAAAATAGATATTAAATCTCTAGTTGAATGTGAAGAAGAAAGATTATGAATACAAGGATGTCTTATTGAAATATGTCGCGCACAACGTCTAAGTGTGCACACCAACATGTTTATAAGTATTAGAAAGAAGCTTATCAATGTACTATATAGGTAACAAATATAGATGACTTTAAAATCAAATTGCATAACTTCAAACGTTCCGAGGTGTTTAAGACATCTTAATGTAATCATCTTTAGTTAGTTAGAACTAAAGTAGAGGTTATTCTAAATATTGATAAAGATACTTTAGTGTGCAATAGTCATAGCGGCCACTTCAGCGATCCGCGCGCTTGGTAGGTACAAAGTGGATGTGTTAGTTGACAGTTATACGTAAGCAATCCGTGTGCTTGTAGTTAAAGATTGAGTATGTTAGTTAATGTGTTAGTTGGGAGCGCCACGTCAGCGATCCATGTGCTTGTTATGGTTATACGCCACGTCATCTATTCACTAGTAGTGGGATGGATGGTGGGGATAAGATCTTATCTCCTTGTACTTGTTGGTGAAAGCTATATAAAGGAGAGTAGAACCATTGTTGGTATCTCTCATCTTCAGAGTTTACGTTTCTATCTTCGAGTGAACTTCTCTCTTAACTCCAATGTTACACTTAAATACAATGTTTAAGACGTTTACAGCGACACGGTTGCGTAGAATGTGGAAACTTGGTAACATTGACATCTGTACTTCGAGCCAATGATGGTGCGCACCAAGAAAGATGCATGAGCTTTGGGAAAGCGAAGTAGGATGATTTTTTGTTTTAAAATTACACCACAATGTGCAGCACAACTGAATTTGAGGATTATGCCGTCCACATCTGTAATACGAGCAAATATTGCTGTTCAGCAACAACGTTGCATGCGCGTCGAGAAGTGCGTTTAGTCGGAGTAGGCCAATTTTTGGTTCAAATATTACATCATAGTGTGCGGCACAACTGCATTTGGAAGCATTGTCTTTGCCGTCCACTTCTCGAATGCGAGCAAATGGTGATGTGCATCAACAACGTTGCATGCGCGTCAAGAAGTTGGAGTAGGTTGATTTCATTCCAATGTGCGGCACAAGTGAATTTCCATTGCGCCCTTCATCTTTAAGCACATACAAGCATGAAGCGCTATCGTAATTCACAGACTGCTTGGCGGTGCTGGGTTGGGACTGTTGCATGTGGTTAAGCTTCGTTGTTGAGTGATGGTTGGTTTGGATCACCAAAAAAAAACTCACTCGATCACTTCAAAGAGCTTCCGGCTGATTCCAAGTTTAATATTATCAAGGCGGAATGCAAACATTGCAAATCCTTGATCTCTACAACTTTGTCTAGTATGAAAACTCATCTCACCAATTGTGATCACTATGCGCGCTCCGTTGGTACTAGTCTTTAACGACTTGCTCCATTCGCTTCATTGTAGATCTTACAGCTTTGTCATCAACAAATTTTCAATTTCATGAACAATCTGAGTAGTTGATTGGAATACTTACTGCTAAGAGCATGGTAGAGTCGAGATTCATTTTGAGGAAGAATTCATCTATTGTTGATCAGATGAATGCAAAAATATTCTTTGGATTCTATTTAGACAAAAAACGGATACTCGATTCTTTGTTTGGTTTTGCCAGGAATCAAATCGCTACAAACTTTCATATGTTTGATCATTCAGCCTAGCAAAATTTTATCAAGGTAATGTCTCCCAACTAAATCATTCCATCATACGAAGTGTTAAAAAACCAATTTTTTTCACATGTTGCAACAACAAATGCATATGAGCTAGGATTTGATATTTGTCGCAGTTGTGATTATTGGTATGGATGGTGACTCTAATGTGTTGTCTCAGAGCATGTCTAACATCATTGTCCATGATACCCGTCCATATTTTGTGGACTATCTGAGAGCAAATTTCAAGAGGGAGTCCGCCAGTGAGCTTCCTATGAAGATGAGACTGATGCTCAATAGAATTGCTGCATTTATCGACAAGAATATCACGAAGCTTTTATTTCCGACAGCTGTAATGCAATGCGAGCTCTTTGTAATCAACTGATAGACAATTGTGACGTAGACTATGCATATGGATGTAAAGTTCATCCATTGAACAACTTCTGCGAAGATATGATCAAGTTGCAAATTTCAAATTATTACTCAAGATTATTCTCATCGTCTTAAAGTGCATCAAGAACTAGTTATCACCGAATAAAATATTTTCTTTAGTTTGCAAAAAGATGCTTGGTGAGTCCTACTCAATGATTATGTATTCAACTTCACGTTGGTACATCGTGAATTATATGTTCGTTAGTCTGAAGACAACCAAACTTTCTATCACTTCTCTGCCAAATTTGATTAAAGAGTAGGAGCAAAATATTGATGCTAGCTATGAACTTCAGGAAAGCCTCGTGAACACTATCAACAAGAGTAGCTTCAAGCGCAGCGCAAAATCTGCAATCAACTTGTTTGATCACATTCACAAGTCCATCGGCATAATCGAGACTGATTCATCAACAATGACTACCTCTATGCGACTTTCGTATTCATCTTTTTCATCTCCCTACTCAGTAGGAAAATGGAGATAAAATGACAGACCTACATAAACGTGGCATTTTGAAAAATTTTACCACTTGTAAGTCTTACCACTTTACCATTTTTAAGAGGTTACACAATGAAAAATCCTTGAAGGTTGCGATCTATGACGGTCGATTTGATCATCTACGTCATTTTTGTGGCTGGCTTGTCAACATCTTCGCTAACAACACGTAAGTTGAGGCCGATTTCTCCGTACTCAAATGGAAGAAGTACGACATCTGCACTAGTTTGCAAGACTCGTCGCTGGAACGCATACTTAAGAGCAAGCAGTGGACAACTATGATCCAAATTTGACCGGCGAATAGCTCAATAAAGTCGCTTTATCACTTTTAAGTATCAAATCGACTTTTAAGATCAAGATTGGTAACAATTTTTAAGCTAAAAGTGGTGCATTATCACCTTTAGGCAGTACTGCCCTACTGTATTATCCGGTGTCGAGCTTGATCAGATGCAAGCTCAATTTCATTGATCGATGAGATTTTTTTGTCTGTTCATGCGCTTGTTTTTTTTGTCAACCGCTTCTATCATGTGTTTTGAATGAATGTTGCGCATGTCCATGATGATCAAGTGCTTGAGTTTGGCAAAAGTTCATTTATTGATCAATTTCATGCTGCAATCAAGATTCTGATTCGCTGTCACAAATCTTCAAAAAAAGGTGAGTAGTAGTTCAAAAATTTGAAGATGAAATTCATGAAGTTCTATGTTACTGTAAAGCAGTTGATGACCAACATGACACCACATAAGGTATATCAACCTCGTTATGTTTATGGTCAATGTCAGTCAAGATATTTTCATCTTGTTTCTATTCTTATCAAGGTGTATATCGAACCAAGATCATCAGTTGGTGTTGAACGACAACACAAGCTGCGAAAAAGAATGCATCTTGTTTGTCGTAATCGCACAGCCTTTGGCAAGTTGATGTGGCGCATAACTCGTTAGTTCAGAAGGTGATATTGAGTCTCAAACGCTAATTGTTTGAACATCACATTGTATCTTTATGCAGCGATCAGATCCAACAATCAAAACCATATGAAGATGAGTTGATGATCATGGCGGCGCGTACGACGGATCTGTGGGTAACACAGGATGGGATCAACGAATAATTGCTGGAGTAGAATGAAGAGTTTCAAGATTCAATCTCTTATTTCCTTAAAAAATTTGACATGATTGAATAGTTGGATTTACTACGTGATCTATCCGCCAATAAATCATTTTCTTCTGAGAGGATGGAGTCAAGATGATGACTTCTGAATCACATATGTTTGAGTTCTAGGATACAACAATTCTCCTTGTTGGACTAAATCCAAGTTACAAAGTACTTCTCAGACATTGCATGTCAAAATGTTGTTTCTAAACTGCAATTGAATCGTAAAGGATTGCATCTTGTTAGAGATTTGTGCTTGTCTACATGTTTGTCTAGTTTTAGGCTTGCTGTCATTGTGAATGATCTATATGTTATTGAATTGTGAGGGATTGCATCTCGTCAAAAATTTGTGCTTGTCTACAAGTTTTTCTAGTTTCAGGCTTGCTATCAAGGTCAATGATCTATATACTATGATCAATATGATACATGCTAGTTCTTTCTTCAAGTTTACCGTCAAGAGAAGACGGTAAACTCAAGGTTTGACATTCAAAAAAATCCTCTAATGAGAAGAGAAGTTAACTTCGAGTAAATTGTGTGACCATTGAAGAAGACATGATAATGTGTTCTCGTTATGGGCTTCTTAATAATTCTTGGATTAACAAAAGTGTGTCATCTCCATTGAGTTAAGTATCTATGAGGACTACAAACTCATAAACACCTTGAAAGAAGACTTGCTTTTTGATTAAGCATTCATTTTGCCAAGAAATTGAGTTTAACCTGCTGAAAAAAATCAGAAGTCACTTGAGATTTTCATACAAGTCAACTCAACTTTGTAATAACCTTATACTCCCTGCAAACACGTGTATCACTTGTATCTCAGAAGTGGAACGAACAAGCTCTACTTGATGAATGAAATGTTCAACCTGCAAGATATGAACAGGAACCATGTGAGTTGTACTTACAGATTAGAGTTTGCTTGTCTGCATATAAAAGATGTCTTAAAGAAAAACTGTCCTTATTTCAAACATTTTTTATGTGTATGTATTTTTATTAATAATAAAAGGATGCATCTCTAGTAACAAAAGAAGAATGGAGGAAGAGACTCTAAAAGAAATCACGAAACAAAAAAATTTAATAATATAATCAATATGGGCAAACAAAATTAGGCCTAGATATCAATATTTCTCTCATACAACAACACGAATCCTCTATTTACCTGATCGATGTGAGATTTTACGACAAGATGTAATTTTATGCGTACAGGCTATCTAATATACGAAACGCAATATTACAACTATACATGCTCCAAACTATACATCCAAATGTATAAGACAGGAATAAATGCATCAATACTCATATCATGACAAAACCGAACACGTTTTCTAATAAAACTAGGAAGAAGAAAAAAATCGAATTCAAAATATAAAATAAATCAAGAAATTTCAAGAAATCCTAAGTACTATAACACGTGATAGATGGTTTTGATAATATTTCGGGCCAAACAATGAAATTTCCACATTTACTCTTAGAAATGCGTTGAGCTCATTTTCCATTTTGTCAAGTTCTAATGTTATGAGCAAATTATCCAAAACCCGCCCCCTGTACGTTGCATAAGTCAGAGGAAAATTAAGCATCAATTAAGAGAATTGAGGATCGGCTGAGCCCGACGTTAATATCACGACCTTCACAAGGTCTTGGAAGAAAACAGAAGTACGTAACACATGAGCTTCAGGAGAAGGGGTAAGACGGGCTGGCACCTGATCCCGGAGGCCCGGTCTCCGGGGGAGGAACGAAACCGTTGCTCGTTCGGAAGGTGCTCCGCTGGCCTCGTCGTCCGGCGGCTGTCACAGGCGCAGGCCCAGCGAAAGCAAAACAGTTGCGCCTCGAGAAACCGACAGCCACTCCGAGCACTGCGTCGGGAACGAAATCCCGATGCGGCCCGATGTAGACATACGGGAGGTGGAAATTACGATGTGGATGGAGTTTGAGGAACAAGATTCTTTTTTCTTTCTCTCTTGGTCGATGGGAAGATGTTTGCTGAATTTGGCTTGAGCGAGGACCGATCGAATTACTCCAGTGGGGACTGACTGGTGATTTGTATACCACAGAGAAGGGAATTGAAAGTTCAGGGAATGGAGGATGTGCGGCTAGGGCGGTGTGAAGGTGCCGAAGGAGTGGGAAAGATGGGCAAGTGGGTTCACAAGCTCGCCAGATTTTATGCTCCTTGTGCGCTGCCTCTGCTTTGTGTTACGATGGGTTTGTGGATTCCTGAGAGTCCTGGAAGTCGCTCGGGAAGTAAATCCTCCATCTCTGGGTGATTGAGGTTAACCTAGGGTTGAATGCAGCAGAACTCTAGACACAGTTAGAGGAATTCGGTCGCTTAAATTCGAGGAGCACATTTGTCAGAGCCTCAATTCGTTCCTGTGATTTGCCGCGTATCTCAATCTAGAGCGTAAGTTCTAGTTTCTACTTCGGCTCGAAGCATAATTCAAATTCTAGATTAGGACTGAAAAATTTGGGGAGATTATCGGATCAATTTCAATATGGAAACGCTCTGTTCTATTCCCAAGTTAACTTCAAGGTGTCTGTCTTTCTCGACCTCTCTTCTCGAATTGTCAAGATTTCATTCATTTTGCCCCGGTTTACCTCAAGAGCTTAATGTTAGGCGAGGAAGAACTGCGTTCAGATTACGAGCGCAACCATGCAGTGGAATCTCCACGATTCATGTGAAGGAGTCGAGGGTGTCAAGGAGACAGACAATTCGTTGCGTAGGATCTGGACCCGAGCCCGAGCCGTACGATCCAGATTTTCCAAAGGAAGAAGTGTTTTTGTATCGAAGGACGGTTTATGATCACAAAGACTGGTCCCGGCACCGCAGTAGTTTGCGACACAGTCGCCATATTCTTTCCATGCGATCTTCGAGAGTCATTTTAGCTCTGTGGCCTCCAGTTTTTGGGCTGACTACGGTGTCTATTGCGCTCTCTGCGTACAATGAGTGCATACTGAGTCACTGGTTACCTTCCTTCCTCCCGTTGTTACATGTCTCGGCGACTCCCTTCCAGTTAATGGCCCCTGCCTTGGCTTTGCTGCTTGTGTTTCGGACAAATGCCTCGTATGCCAGGTTTGATGAGGCCAGAAGGGCGTGGGGTTCGAATGTGAACAGGACGAGGGACATTACCAGACAAGCGTTGACTTGGATGCAGCACCCTTCAGATGCCGAGAAGGTCAAAAAGCTGATACGTCATTGTGTAAGTAAGGGCCACTCCCCATGATCTCAGTTCACTATTTGTTTCCCAATTGGATGGGATAAAAAAGCCATTTTTTTTCCTCTGAATTTGAGCTTTGAACCATAAAGACTGAGATTTTCTGTGATATCCTTTGTGGTTTGATTTTAGATTATATTATACGTAACTATGTCAACATCACTGGCACACACTTCTGAATAAACCAAATCTCGTCTTCTTTTACATTGAAATAGTCTAAAAACTTGCCGTCTCTGAAAGACTCCACTTCTTTCTGTTTCGAATTACGTAATGGTAACCTGAATGTAAGTTTAGACTGACAACGACGGCTGCAATGAACATTTTGTCCGCAGGTAGCATTCAATGTATGTATGAAACACCATCTGGTGAGAGGTGGAGACTTGCGGGATGATCTACATTCTTGGATTGACAAGGAGGAAATTGACGGAATTCTAGCTTCTACTCATCGGCCCAACTACGTTTTGCAAGTCATGTCAGAAATAATCCACAGCTGCAGCATAACAGAGATGCAGTTAACTCGAATGGTGAGGCAAACAAGCAATGTTGCTGTTGTGGCTTTTGGGTTTTTTTCTGCGCATGTCTAATCACAAGCTTCTTTTGTTCCTGTTGTCAGGATGTAAACATGACTCAATTTGCTGACAATCTGGGAGCCTGTGAGCGAATATTCAAGACTCCAATTCCTCTATCATATACTCGATTGACATCCAGATTCCTCGTGTTGTGGCACATTGCCCTTCCTTTAGCTTTGTGGGATCATTGTCAATGGGTTTCTGTTCCGGCCACATTTCTGAGTGCAGGTGCTTTGTTCTGCATTGAGGAGGTACAGTTCAGACCTTTCCATTGATTTCTAAGATTTGCTTGCTGACTTACTACAAAATGATTTATGGCAATCAGTTTTGATGGAATGAGGTGTCGCTGAGTTTCATACAAGAACGAGGTTGACAACTTGGAAGTCTGGAGCTGCCTCTGGAAGTTTCATCTCTCACCTCATCCTTGTCTATGCAGGTGGGAGTTCTCATTGAGGAACCTTTCCAGATCTTTCCTCTTGACAATATTTGCAGTACTATCAAGAAGAATGTTGACGGTCTTATACTGGCTCATACAGAAATTCACCACTGCCACAAACATCCCCCCAAGGGATGTGACATTCCGAAGAAGAAAAGTTCAGGTGACGCGCCTAAGTCTTAGTAAGAATTCGGAGACCGACTGACTGCAGTTCATCACACCAAGTGGATCTCAATGCCTGTATTCCTGTCATTTGCTTGATGACATACGCCACCGACCTTCACATGGTGCAAGCTGCAGATCTCTTACGTATATACTAAATGTTCTGATGATGTAAACATAAGATGTTGTAGAGTATGGATGATACGCCCATGGACATGGGTACCAGTAGAGATCATTGCCCTCTGTTCCTCGTTGCTTCTTTCTGTCTACATCCCGGAGATTTGCCTGAACTGTCGAGATGGGACTAGTGACCCTTTCCTTGCAAGTTAACGGCATGAAGGGACTCTGCACGACCATGCCCACGTCAAGCTCGTTCCTTCAAATGAAGCTAGAAGATCTGGGCATGAATTTCGGTGAATCAGAAGGATACAGTGGATAGTAGGTTTGATACTAGGCTCAGTTATCAAGAATTTATTTCCTGATTTAGTGGGTGCAAGATTAAGGAGGTCCTTTATAAGCTGACTTGTACCCTTTCACTCTTCCTCCGTTGTACCACTGTATATAATACATTTACCAATTTTGAGTAGAATCTGCCAACATGATCGAAAATGGTGCCAACGATGTGCATCGCCAACTGACAGCCGGAAGGACCAAGTGGAAAGTGGTGGATGCACCTGGGAAATATCTACTCCGTTTCATGCATAGTTCCCCACACCATCTGCGAAGTTGTACATTTTTCTTGTCTGAATTATTCATGACCTTTTAAGCTTTCAAAATTTGGGGCGAGGTGTGAGATGAACCCAAATGTAGCTACTTAGACCTCACTTGTTTAATGTTTTACGCCTCTGCATGACGTGCAGAAGTGTTACAATACAACATGAAAGTTCTTACATGCCATGAAAGTTTTGAAGAGCCCACCATCGTGGGAATGAAATGAAGAAGAGTAATGAGAAATATGTCATATTGCACTATGTATAACTAAAAATACATATACACACAAATCTAAATTTGTATCGATCAGAAAATTATAAATGTCCATGTATCCCATGCATTTTAGCAACGTTATATATATGATTCTGTTGGAGTATATTATTTGGTAATAAACTAAATTAAGTTAGATTCTCACAAAAGATCATATGGTTGTGAATTCTTTTTAAATTTAAGATAATATTGCAACATATGAAAGATTTTATATAATTTGATTGACAAATATGATAAAAAGTTTATTGACAATGTTTGTATATCAATATAAGAATTACAATAAAGAAGAACATAATGAACGAGTATTTGGAAATTAAGGAATGTATGTTAAATATCTCAAGAATGTGATATTTTTAAATAAATTATTAAAGAAAAGAGATATTGACTAGAAAACATTAATGGTAGATAAAAAAATAAAATTCTTAACATCGTATATGTATTTCGTTTGAAAGATTTCAGATTAAAACATTTATTATCAAATGAAGAATAAAAGAAAAAAAAATTTCTCCACTTCATGCTTTATTTCAAGAAAAGTTCTCTTGAAAATAATTATATGATTTTTGAGGATGACACAAGAATAAAGTATTCTATTCCACCAATCATTACATTTATAGTGAATTGATAACATAATAAATATATCTAGATAACACTATTTTTATAAAAATATTTTCAATTAATATATTTTTATCATCAACTGATAATTTTAAATTACATTATAAATGAACTGGTTTTATATCTTGAACAACCTATATTTCTATTGAAATAAATATGTAATTTAGATAACTTTGATCCCAAATATACTACAACATCATTGAGATGAATTTTAAATAATATGTTGCAAACATTATTTGTGATAATCAAATCACAAAAAAATTATTTTAGAAATTAATTGATAAATAAATATAATTTTATTAGTTAAAAATGCCAATATATTCAAGCTAATTATTATGTAAAATTTTTTTATGAAATTAAAATTTGAGTAAATAAATAAATTAAAATTATATTGATTCACAACTTTTTTATAAATAACAACCACTAATAGTTCTGTTCTGAAATAAATAAAATTTAATTCAATCGAATTTTTATTGAGAGATTTAGATTCTTTCTCATAGAATTATCATATCTGATAGAAAGAATACATGTTCGAAAACATGAATGTAGGGTAAGTTGAAAGGAGTTCTTGTCAATTCAAATTAGTGATTTACTAATTAGTTGTATTAGATTTGTTTGACACAACCTGAAATACTGAATGCTGTTTGTAGCTTTGAATGACACAAAGTGAAATTTTTTAAATAAAAATTTTATGTTTCTTTTTAATGTAATTTATATCAAGATGATATACGTATTTGTGTTTGGATTCTTTTTGCATTGTTGTGTGTGAATATTAGTTCTTCACGATTGTTGGTTTAAAATGTAATATTGTTTGAATCTTTATACGTTTTATCTTCTTTGTTCTACGTGTTACTGTGTACATACCACTATGTCTGCTTTCTTCTAGTTATATCCGGTAGGGAAAAGAAGCTTATATCATGAGTCAGCAAAAGTAAATACTCAAGATGCCTTTTGCTTCTGTGATCCCAAAAATTTCGGGGGGCAAATTGAGAGTTTGAAAGAAGGAGGAATTGTATTTATCGTGTTTTCGGGAAAACTGGTAACTGATGATCACTTGTTAAACTTGCCCAGTGAAACAAAATACGGGTTCCCAACATAAAACCTTCAGATGATGCCCTCTTGATTGTGTTCCTCTAGAGCCTGAGCATACCGCAATACAGAAAGGGCCGTATTTTAGTAGCAAAACAGAAAAAGCCTCGAGGTTTAGATTTAGCTGGTCAGTGGCTGCTTGAGATCCTCGCCTTCAAACATTATTCCCAAGACTTAGAACTACGAATCAGGCGATGGCATTTGACATGGCGTCAGTGCATCATGTACAATTGTAGAAGACGCATCTCTAACTGGGAAGTGAAAATTGCACTTCAGCAATTATCGATTCTCCAGTTCCCCTTAACCTCAACGTCAAACTGGAATGACTTTTTAAACCGATTTTTAGTCTTTTCCGTTGAACCCACATCGAATACTCTCATCCACACCATCTCCTTGGAAATGTGGTGTATAGAATTAAGGATGAAATTGTTTTTTCCAGTTGCAACGTGAAGATTTTTATACAAATTTTTTCTTCGACATTGAGTAGAAAGTGGGGTTTTGGAGACTCTTCGTCGTGAGAGTTTCCACGTAGTAGGGGCCTCGTGGTCTTTTTCTCTCATGCTTGGAGTGAGTTCTAACTGCATAATCTTGTCAAACTGGGCACCTCAGATTTGTCATGATTGTGTCTACAGCAGAAACGCTCCTTGTCCTAGTACTTTCTTCCATATTGATTTCCAATCCAAACTCTTACAAAATATGTCTGCTAAATGTGTACCGGATTGTCCGGGCAAGAGAATGAAAGCCATGTTTCCCAGTTTCGTACTGAAGTGTTTGTAAATGTTCCTCACGTCAAGTTTGCTATTGCGTCACCCTTGTATCCTAATTGTGGCACATTACTTAGCGCGTCACGTTGCTCCCGAGATCATACTCTGAATATAAATGAAAGATGGACAACATGTGCCAAGAAAATTCAAGGATGCACCACTTAGATATCCGGTTTAACACATAGAAGTCAACTGTAAAACACATAATTTGAATGTAAGGAGTAAGACTTCAAGGTTTCTTCATGGCCGTCGTCGACTCCATCGATGATAACTTTTACAGAAGTAACGATGACAGCGGAGGATGCATTCTCTTCTAACGGCATGGAAACAAACTCCCCGCTATGATTGGTGGAGAGTTTGTTTCCATCGCGGTTGCTGACGGTGTTGGGCGGAGGGAGTGGGGTGCACAATCGTCTATTTCTCCAGACAGCGAGGATCCAAAAATATCAATGTTGATATCGTCTTTATACCTTACTCGTTCTTTCATCCTCTCTTTCGGTTAGTGGAGTATTTACTTCTGGTACCTACTTGTCTGTTCACAACGGCGAGGCTAAGGGGTGGAGCCTCGTCTACGCAGACCCTAATACTTCTATGTAGAATGGCAGTGAGCAACAATCGCCGTGGGGTGTTCAGTCACATTTTGTATATTAAGCTGGGCTGCAGGTATTGTCACACTGAATGTTGAGCAGCGAAAAGCACGTCCCATACTGATCGAAGTTGGTCACTGTTTCGAAGACTTTCTACTCTGAAGTCATTTGCTTGCAACCTAGATTGATGCTTTCTTACGACTTCGTTGTTCAGTTGTCCCTAGCATCTTATCTCTAAGCAAGCTTTCGCACGATTTATCTTGTGACTTTGTCTCAGTCGAGTCCAGGTAAAATGAACATCCAAACAACGAGCTTGCAAGCTTCGCGACGATTCAATGCATGATGGTGACATATATTCATGGCATACAGAGAAGAAATACTGTCTAAACCCCGGCAGGTGTTTGGCTGCTGTAATAATTTCTCATGTACAATCATCCTAAACTTTGCCATGAAATGGAATAAGCAGGATATGATAGTTGAGTGTATCGTCCAGAAGTAGAACTCGTCCAGAAGGTTACCACTTCTATGAATTTCAGAGCATGCGTGCTTTAGTTGAAATTATCCATCCAGTCATGACTTGGTCAATTTATTCCATTCTCCATTCATGATGTCCACTGTAATGGATTTGCATACATAAGTTTTGCATATATATATGTATATTGATCAACACCATATACCTCATCATATTTGTAGTTTGATCTTTATTAAAATTGTGCGAGAGGAATTTCTTCTGAGAGAAGGATATATTTCTCTATATCAAAAAAAGTTGTGAAATATAGGCCGGCTTTGCCTGATAGTGTAATTAGTTTACTTTGTTAACATAAGTAAGTAATTTTGCACATGTAATATTATTATATTTATTATTCAAATAATAATATTAAGGAGCAGCTAGTTATCCTTACCCTGCCTACTCATCAAGTACCAAGAGTTACTCGGGAAGTCTATGATTGGTGAACGAAAAATAGTGAAACAAAATTGCTTTTGATAAACTTTCGAAAGTCTATCTCATCCTCTTCAAGTTCAGGAAATCCCAGGGCATCACATTTGATGGATTTCAAGTTCAGGGGAAGAGACCGCATAGCACAGACGGTAGGAGACAGGGAGTGGAAGCCTCGAGTAGTGAAAGAACGCTAAAGTGAAGGATACTTAATATAAATTTAGGGATAATTAGCCGCTCTCTAATATTATATTAACCAAAATTAGACAAAAATAGATTGTGTGAACTTTCACATATTTCAAATATAACATGATATATTTCGTGATAGGATAAAGGCTTCTCACAAAGTGCAAGAGAGTACATACAGAACTTAGTTTCAAACTATTTAAGTAAAGAACATAACTTGAGAGGATGGCCAACTACTCCCGCAATCCTATCGATGTGCAGAACTATGAACTTAATTAATATACTCAGATAGATAAAATAATATATCCACAACTTACAAAAAATAAACCATCTTACTTTTTGGGCTATTGAAACCTTTTGACATGCTCATTTCAAATTTTGATTCTTAATTTTCTTTAATATGATGATATAACACTGCAAGGCGAAAGTTTGATTATATTAGACAAGGTGCATCGACATATCTAATATTATCAAACTAATATCATGAGTTTACAAATATATATGTTATAATTGAAGAATCTGATAAAGACAGTGTACACCCTATCATGTTTTTACTTTCAATTTTCAAGACTATCAACTTCTCAAAACCTACTTTAAAATATATTCGCCACACTTCACATGTAAAAACGACATACGTCAAAATTCACAAAAAAACGACACTTTAGAATACAATTACTTCTATCAAATTTATCAGATATTTTATATCAATATTAAGATGAAAGTCAATCCATGTTGGAAATTTTTATAAATTAAATCTGCTCGCTTATAACCATATCTACATGCAACTATTTCCTACTATACCTCAGTCTCCTCCGTTACCCTGTACATTTTGAAAATATATTTTTTTTAGATAATGTTGAAAGAAAAGTAATACATACCATATCCATTTCATCTGCAGTAAATGGATAGACACGATGATCACTAAGGCGTCAATAGAGCGAGGTAGAATTATACGTGTTTTCAAAAGCACGCATTGTCATATGCTTTAATTAACGCGATTTCCCTTTATTAACGAGAAACTTCTGGAAGACAAAGCGTGTCACAGCCACCTTAGAGGAGAGTCGTGCCATGATCCCTTGATCATGATTGAGCCGGAACCCTAACTTTCATCCGGTGGTCCCGACTTGCCGAGCGGCCAACGGAGGCCCGAGACTTCCGCCACCATTCGTCTCGACACATATAAATACCACTTCCGTCCTGAGACAATCAAATCGTCGAGCGCCGCCCGGGGTGTACTGCTGATTTCTCTTCTGGATCCTCATGCTATCTCTGAGTTTGCTCCTCATACTGATGCATCGGTGTTACTCAGTTAAACTGCATTCGCCAATTTTTTTAGGTTAGCGGCACCAGATTCGAAGTGTGCTGTGAAGGACGTCGTTCTACCTCCTCCGGTGCCTCCAGTAGCTGATTTCCTCTGTCGTAGGTCAGGAGGATGCTGTGCGACGTCCTTCACAGCTGTGAAGGGTTTTTCCGATCCGTTCTCTGCCACGTCTGTGATGATAACATTAAGGCTTGTTTCTCAAACATTCGCAGTGGCCGCCCTAGAGTTTTCGCCTCGCCGGGCTTGAGAATTGATGCGGTTTTATCCTTCCTTGGATGTCTGAGACGTGGCTGTAGGAAATAAATTTCCTCTGTAGTTTTAAGTTCGTTGGGGATTGGTCCACTCGAGGGATTTGGAGAGAAGTTGCTATGATGTTACCACAGCTCCCTCTACTGATGTCTATGATGACACTGCTGGCACGAATCGAACTTAACTTAGCCGACACTGAGCACTTCTCCTCCGAAGTCCTTGCCAATTCTGCATTCCGGTCGATTACAAGCGACGCCTCCTCTCGTAACCAGTGAAGTGATGACTATTGTTTCCCTATTGGTTTGACTGCCGTCATGATGGCATCTATTGCTTCAAACTTTCTGATCACTGGTTCCGGTAACAAATTACTGTCTTTCAGTCTCGATTCACTTCTCTCGGACCAACTTGGACCCGATGACCTGCTTACTACATCACACAATACATATGATGTAGTAAACCCACCAAACTATCTTCAATCTGGAGTTGAACCATCTCCGAAAAGGAAGTCTGATTCACAGTTACCAACTAGACAACTCCATGTAGTAAGAACAAACTAGATAGTCAGGGAAAGTTATGTGTCATGTGCGACGTGCGCAAGTCACCGGTCAGTATACACAGCGGATTGGGAATTATAGAACGTCTCAATTCCGCAATGAGTCGGAAAACTCATGGCAGGCGAACGGAACATTGTCTATCCGTAATCCTCCATCGCCGAAAGAGTGTTACGGTTGGAGCATGGACCAACAAAACCATTGTCACTGAATGTATGGTGAAACGCATGGAAACTTGGGTTTACGTGCCAAATCCTACGTAATGTAAGAATTCACACAGACTACAACACATCTTGATTGGAAAGTTGAAGGGATTTTAAAACGCACAGCAAACCGGTGGAGAATATTCTAGTATAGAAACGTGGAAGTGGAAAAACATGAGAACGTAGACTGTCCATAACCCACGGATCGGCTGAAATGTCTAGTGGAGTGAATGGGCGGAATTGTTACGCACGCCGAGTACAGGAACATTCGAGTAGGTGGACTCGCAAGAGTGTTTCGTAGCGTCTCTCTCAGGCAGCCCCGAATAAACTGTTCTACCTAAATCCACCTTGGCAGAGTAGAAGATCAAAAATAGAAGCGATAGAACCAATTCACCTTCTTGTGTACTGGTATCTGACCGGGAAGTAACCGACAGTCTCTATCGATGGAAAGGCTCATCTACTACACCTGGAAAGGCTCATCTACTACACCGGACTGCGGAATACTTATGCGACATAAGTTATGTCCCAATCTCCTCAGCGTATGTAAGATACATAGGATGGAAAAGGGCAGAGCGGATGGTTGTGCGGCTCACTGAGCATCACGATAGGGATGAACATGATAAGCATAATCTCTCGGAAGGTTATGGTTGAGGTTTTCAAAGAGCTACCCACTCAACGAGATCGTTGCATCGCATTGTCCCCTGAGCAGGCGTATGCTGTTCTTTCTCGACTTTGACATGTGGAGGCTTGCAACCTGGAGTGGAAGGGCGTGGTTGTTGAAGGTTTGCTCTTTTCAAAACATGTAAAACGCTTGATAAATTAATCAATTGGGACAAGCTGCACTATCTTGTTGAGTACAAGATGTCTCATTTTCCAATTAATTCCAAATGGCACTACAGCACCCACTATATATGAGCACGTTCGTACAAAACTCCCATCATCTTAATTTCCAACTATTTTGTGTATTAGCAAGGATAACTTTTGAGCATACTTGACGATAATTCGATCCAGTATGCTCAAAAGTTATCCTTGCTAATACATTATCCTTGTTGTCCAGAGTATCTATCGTTAGGACTTCTCCAGCTATTTCATGTGGCCTTTACAGAATGTTATGAATGAATCTGGAAGAGTAAGATATGATAATCAGAGCATGAAGGTAACTGGCGAAAAAAAAACACAATGTAGTGGTAGCACTCCTCTTCTTTACAGCGAAGGTCAGTGAAGGTCAGTGAAGGTCTTCAACATATATCTTGATGAGAAAGGCTCATGCATATTTCCATGAGTTCATTTCATCCAAATACATAAGCACATAAACAACAAATACTAGAGATTTAAGAACTCGACTAGCAATATCACCACTAATAATTAGCTTTAGGCCGAGGTCTAGTTTTTCAGGAAAAACCAACACTTCGAGAGCTAAGCGCCTTCCGAGAATCGTGTCTGCTCCTAGACGTTTCATAAATTCAGGACATGAGGACGAGCACCTGCATTGATCAATTGAAGTGCAAGATTGCGGCCCACCGATATAGCGAACAATGTACATGTTTGTTATTCAATATTGTATGCTAAGCCATCATCAAAGCAGCAACAGGTACATTGCAAGGATAAAAATAAAGGTCGTAGTCGTAGTTTTTTTTTCTTAGGAATCCACGAACAAAACTTTTCGATGCTGGAAAGACCCTTTGATACATTGGCGTGTGATGCTAAAAAAACTGTAAGACGAGTGCCCCAATCACAGCGATAAATGGTTGATATGGTCACAATTTGCAGCCTGCAACCCACAATATGTGACTTGATGGATCCAATGTATGTAACTGTAGACTCTACCTAATTTAATCGTGAGCATGATGGAGACGTCTACGCTAATTTCACGCTCTTTGCACAAAAATCACACAATGGAACTAAGAAGATCTATTGAGACTTTATTGGCGAGTTGACTGTCGTCGTCTTCTTTCATGAAGAAACCGACACGCATGTCTCAGTTGCTTGTACGGCATGCTCCTGAAACTCCTGCTGCAACACTGATATGGTAACTAGACCGGTTCTTTTCTTCATCACTCCGGTTCCGACTTGCCAGTTTGAATGTTGTGCTCTTGCAAATAATGTTCGGCTTCTAAGGCAGCCATGCATCCAGTGCCTGCGGCGGTGATCGCTTGACGGAATTTCTTATCTTGTACATCCCCTGCGGCAAAAACTCCATCCACGTTTGTGTGTGTTGTTCCGGGCCTCGTAATGATGTAACCATCGGGGTCGGTTTCAATTTGCCCATCCAAAAACTTTGATGCCGGCTCGTGACCAATGGCGAAGAAAAGACCTGAAACTGGAAGCTCAGTCACGACTCCAGTCTTGACATTTTGAACTTTCAAACCCCCAAGAAGGTTTCTCTCGTTTCCTACTGCTTCGATTACTACACTATCCCATATAACTTGAATTTTAGGGTTAGCAAAAGTCCTAGCTTGCATAATTTTACTGGCCCGGAACTCATCACGACGATGAATCACGTAGACCTTGGACCCATACTTGGTCAAAAAATTAGCCTCTTCCATGGCTGTATCCCCTCCGCCAATTACTGCCAGAGGCTTGTTCCTAAAAATCGGCGCAGCACCATCACACACAGCGCAGGCAGAGATTCCCTTATTCCAAAATCCTCCATCTTCCTCTCCGGCGCCTTTGAAAACTAGCCTTTTGGCCACGGCCCCTGTTGCAATAATCACGGTGTCTGCCTCAACCTCCTTCGTATCTGTGAACAACTTGAAAGGCCTGATAGACAAATCCACCCGAACCACCGTCTCGGAGAAAATCCTCGTTCCAAACCGAAGACTCTGCGCTCGGAACTTATCGCACAACTCTCCACCCAAAATTCCTTCCGGGAATCCAGGAAAGTTCTCGACGTCTGTCGTGGTTGTCAATTGCCCTCCAGCCGCGATTCCGTTCGCCATCCATCCCTCGAAAAGAATAGGGTGAACCTCAGCTCTCGCAGCATAGATGGCAGCGGTGTGCGCAGCAGGGCCAGAACCGATAATGCACATGGCAGTGCTTAGTTTCTCCAACTCCCCCATCGCTGCCTCCGTCGAGTAACCCCTGGGGGAGGAAACGCCTGCGGCAAGAGCAGCAGATATTCTGCGGTACAGAGTTTTAGGGCTCTGAGCAATCTGTCTCGCCAGAGGCAGCATACACGCTCAAAATAAAACAAGGAAAGCTCGGCTGTCAGTTCACACTACCCTCGCGGCGCACAAAGAACAACCTTCGATCACCGAACAAGATATTCGTCAATCCTTCAGTCGGGCGTTCAATCCTGCAGACCTCGAAACTGGACTCTCCGTCACACGAATTTTAGTTTCCAGCACCCTCGATCATACGCAGTAGAGAGAATTCCACGAATCCTTTCAAGCAGCCAGACCTCAAAAGAGCGAGTCCAATGTGAACACTGACGGACTAACTCGTCGATCCGACAACAATCCCTGTTGCTTGGAGCACTGTAAGGCCAGGAAATTGTGCGAGAAGGGACCTGGCACAGCACACAGTCGCACGACGGCGAGCGAAGGTGCCCTCGATGCGCCCGGACTCCGACAGCGCAAGCATCTAAATGCGCTAGAGGCGCGGCTCGTCCGACGTTGGTTCCCGCGCGCCTTCCTTCGCTGCTGCCGCCTCCTCAAGTCCGAGTCGTCACTGATAAGCCTTTGATTGCATAGTTTCATCTTCTAAGTTTTAAGAATCAAGTAGTAGAAACGAAACTTTAGTTTTTTTCTGATTCATAATGTAATGAAAAAACATCGTGTTCTGTTGATGATAATGATACAGTCATTTATTTTCATTCAAAGTCGGAGAGATCTATCGATTAATTGCACAAGTGAAGTTTTATATAGAATCAATTATTTTAATTTATGCAAATGGAATTTTGTATTAGTTAAAGATATATTTCTAAATGAAAAGATTAGTTTGTATAAGTAACCACAATTAATTTTGATATAATATTATTAATTAATACCCATAAGTCCAATGGATTAATTTTTTTATGATTACTCTTTCACTTACATGCTGGTCATGTTATGACAGGATAATCTGTTCAAATTTTTAGATTTTATGATAAGATTGATTTATGAGAGAAAGTGACATCTTTATCAAACTTAGTTGAAGATTCGATTTCCTTTCCATGGATTTCTTCATGACAATTATAACGTTTTTGATTAGCAGTAAATTTTCCTTATCTTTGTGTTTTCTTATTTTGTGATTAAAATTTTACATGAAATTTTGGGAGTAGATACAAGGTATACATACTTATTTTTTCTCATATATATATGTCATATCCGAGATGTTGTATGATCAAAACTAATACATGAGCTCATGTGTTTTTCTACTTTGTCCATTCATTTGACTAAAAGTACGAATGGACTAAGTGGAAATGGATACGATGGACATTTGGTTTGATGTATGGAGAACTTTGTAAAACTCCACTATTTTAGCAAAAATGATCATGAAAAGCGTTTCTTGTACTATTACTACCAAGAATGTAAATCTTGGATCGTGGATGCAAATCGTGGATGTTGGTTCATTCATGCATTAAGTTTTGTTCACTGGACACCTTTAACTTTTTTCATATAAATAAGTATCTCCCTAAACTTAGTTCATATATATATATATATATATGCTATTATTTTTGAACGTGCAGGTGTGGAGACAGGTAAACTTGCAGGAGTTGAATGATAATTTTCATCTAGCCATTACATGGATGCTGTTTTCAAAGGCTTTTCAAAGTAGAAACTTCACATTGATTGAGTTTTGTTTTGCTTTGCATTCTGCATTACTAAGATAGATTTATAATTGGTTGTTGCAGATGTTGATGTATGAATACTTTAATACTTTGGGCAGACATAATTATTCATAGCATGAGAGATTGAGATGAGTGCTCCACTCATAGCTAACCCAGGAATTTATAAAAATTCATTTATTTGACATTGAAATATTATGAAATTATAGAGAAACCTCATCATGTTTCATTGTTGTTCACAAAATATTGTTAATGTAAGAAAAGCGATCAAATTAGATGATATGGCAACTGTCGTAGTGTTTGTATTCCGATTGATAGTCAAGATTAAACGTAGTATTGCTTGTTGTTGTCTTCCTGGGCTTGACTTTATCTGCTTCCGTCCTCTACACATGAAACTTCTCTAGAGGCTTGATTTTAATTCATTAGTTGTTCATATAGACTATACCCGACGGTAGCTGAAGAAAATATCTCAATGTCATACAATTCATAAACTTTATATGGAAAAAGTTGAGCATAAACATTTCAATTTTGATTTAATTTATTATGCTATATCGAATTTACAAATTGCGGCGTTTTACATTCCAATTCATAATACTCGAAGCTTCACGCTAGGTCATGGTTTTGCACTTGAGCTCTGAAGTCAATACTACAAGGGGGCGTGTCAGTAGGCGCCACTTATACGTTTTCAGGGCATGCTATTTACTCCTCACCTTCTATTTATTTGTCTTGCCTCTATAAAGTGTTTGAATCATTTTAATTAGTTTGACTACGACATAGTTAGACTAGTTAGCTAGTCTAACTATGTAAGAAAGCTGGTAAAGGATCTCAAACACACAAATTATAATTTTTAGTATACTACTTTCTGTCCAGGTGCAGGTATTCCGCATCTTCACAGACATGTCTATAAAGTCTCTCTCCGAGACAGTTCCCACACAGTTAGGCCTTCCGTGCGGTTTGGAACTTACCCAACAAGGATTATGTGTTTCTTGGAAATCTAGCCACATTATGATAAACAAGGTATGTTTTGTGTTGATTTTCTTTAAAATGCTTGTGATTGTCAAACTAAATTACATTGTATATATATGAACATATCATAGATAGTTTCAACAAATAATAATGTGTGACTTTACTTCTATGTTTGGATGTTAGACAATCTTTTTTTTGATATATTTGATTTAATGAAAATAATAAATCATATTTTTCACAAGCAATTTATATCTTCTTGTGTGTATGATTAAAGCCCTTTTATAGATGTATTTTAAAGAAATGACGACTAAATTTGTGCCTTTAAATTTAAGCCTTTGGGGTAGTGGCTGAAATAGGTTGAAGTAGCTGCAAAGCAGCTCCTCTCCTGCACTCAAATCTCTACATGCATACACCAACAGAGCTCTTCCAATCACCACCATCGACACGTTCGGGATGCACGAATTGTTGATGAACGAAGGTAACACCCACAAGCCCCAGAAAACTCTCTCCTCGTGATCTTTGGCATTAGTTCTCGTAGTATCATGTCTTCTCTCGAGGGTTGTCGACACCATGTTCCTTTCGATGGCATTTCGCATCACCAAGCGGTTGATCCGCTCCTCTTTCAAATTCAAAGTCTCCACCGGGGCTACCCTCCTGCCCGGAATGAAGAGATCCATGGAAGGTACTGCGTGCTGCGCACTATCGGTGCCATGACACAGAGCCAGCAGCCTCTGGCGATTCTTGGTGGATACCTTCGCTCGCTCCCGGACTGCATGTACGAGCTTTTCCTGGATTTCCGGATCAAGCCTACCCTTTGCGCCATAATCAAGCGAATTTTTTTGACATTTGTTTGCACTCATCGAATCCAACATGGCCAGAGGATTAGATACAAGGAGCAGATCCCTGGCCTTTACATGCTTTGTCAAGAACAATCCACGATCCTTGTTCCCGCTAGCTGCTTTCAACTGAATCGGACCGACGTAGTGTGCACATGTTGGATTTTCCCCAGCGAACCTACCCTTGAGATAGAAATCAGTCAGCTCATAAACACCCAGTCGGCTTTGGTGGTCACCAATCCGACTCAGTTTTATGGCAGCAAGAAGATCTTTATCAAAAGGTGCACGCGCATAAGCAGAATCCAGATGAGTCAATGCCTGCTGATAATCTCCGAGACCAAGAAGCACCCTACTCTTTCGGAAGAGGCTCTTCAGATGGTGGGGATCGATGGACAACGCTCGCTCGGCGTCAGCCCACGCCCTCTCGTAATGGTGGATCCTCAGCCACGCCTCCGCTCTGTTGGAATAGTCCATTACAACCTCCATCTCTATCTCCACTCCGTTGCCATTCACATGATTGACTCTGTTACTCAAGGACATCTGTTCTTTGGATTCTTGAATTGCTTTGTGAATTGCGCGGGTGTAGAGTTCGATTGCACCGGTCCAATCTTGTCGGGCGAAACGATGATTCCCCCGAATTCGAAGAGCTGCTGCAGTAGGTTACTCCTCCACCACTGCATCGATGATCTCTTTGGGCTTTGACGTCTTTGAAGCATCTGTTTCCTCGCAGGCACCAGCGGGTTGACTGCAACCATTGGACAGCAGGTGATGGACTTCTTCAGATGCACACACATCATTGTCCGACTCTGTGCCTGCCTTCGAGGCCTCGACACCCGCCGATGAAGATTGAAGGCTCTTCGCCGAATTATTGCAAGTTTTGGTCGATTCCACTGAAGCCTGCGAATCCTCATGCGATAATTCATCTGAATGCGTAGGCCTTCCTTCGGGACACTTGGCAGCAGCCTCCCGAATGGCGCTCACCTTTGTCCACGCTCCCTAGCCATTTTCATTAACGTCAATCCTCGACGAACGGGTCCCGATCGCCGCGGCCGCGCCCTCAATGCTGGCAGAGACGAGCGCCTGCAGTGTCAACAACGCAGGCGCTCGTCTGTGCGTTGCAAACATGAATTTGCAACTGTCAGCGTCTGAGTCCGCCACGGACTCAGAATCTAGAAGGCAATTGGCACTGCGGCGGTCCATCGCCGCAGAGAACATAAAGAGTGCTAGACGGGATGGAAGGTTGGACGGCAAGAAGACTGAAAGCGGAGAGCGCAATGAGCAGTGGGAGCTCGGGCGCCTTGAGCCCGCTGTCGTTCGTGATGTCGGAGGAGGTTCGACAGCGGCTGCTGGCGATGCTAGTGCTCCAGAAGGTGCGCGACCCCCGTACTTTGGCGGCGTGCACTTGCGTGAGCAAGGAGTGGAGAGAGGAGGCGAGCGACGAGAAGCTGTGGAGGATGTTCTGCGAGTCGCAGTGGCCGTATCTGAAGTCCGCAGTAGGGAGAAAGCTCGTGCTCCAGCGAGGGTACTATCTTTTCTTTGTCAGAAGAATGAATCTCGACCTGCACCAAGCCGAGTTCGCGATTCCTCTCAAGCTTAGAGGACTCCACATGGAGGACCTCATATTCTTCGTGCACGAGAAGGCCAATGTGGTCGTGAGCAAGGAGTGGAGAGAGGAGGCGAGCGACGAGAAGCTGTGGAGGATGTTCTGCGAGTCGCAGTGGCCGTATCTGAAGTCCGCAGTAGGGAGAAAGCTCGTGCTCCAGCGAGGGTACTATCTTTTCTTTGTCAGAAGAATGAATCTCGACCTGCACCAAGCCGAGTTCGCGATTCCTCTCAAGCTTGGAGGACTCCACATGGAGGACCTCATATTCTTCGTGCACGAGAAGGCCAATGTGGTTGTGGAGGGCCGGAACGTGGCAGCGGTGCCGAGCACTGTGCTAAACGCGAGCAACGAGGATCTGTTCCGTTTCTCGGCGCCGTATGCCGAGAACGCCGAGTCAGGGGACAACCACTGACTCGGCGTTCTCGGCATACGGCGCCGAGAACGCCGAGTCAGTGGTTGTCCCCGAGTCCAGGTACGCCCAGAGGATGTGGACCAAGGCCCAAATCTGCAACTTCGAAGTCACTTGGTCCGTGATGGAGAAGAAGACGCTCAAGTCCATTAAGCTCGTGCACACCAAGGGGGGCCGCATGGTCGGCAGCTCTTGCCTTTTCGAGTCCTGCCTCCCGTTTCCCCCGTGCTTCTGCTCGGTGCTCGCTCTGCTCAATGCAGCTCTTCCCTCGGCTTGTCCAATCGCCGCGGAGGTCACCATTCAATTTTCTGAATGCGATGCTGGGCTCTTTCGCTGGGCAGGCGTCTCCATGGGCACCCTGGTTACCCACGCGCCCCACGCGCTGAGGTATCAGGCGAAGGATCAAGCTCTAATTTATCTGGAGTATCATTTCTCCATGTCCGAGTCGTGTCAATACAATTACAATACGACGGTAGTCTTGAGTCTTGGTGGTGGAAGATCATCATCGCCTTCAAGAGGAGGCTTCAAAAAGAGCGTATGATGATCGACACTCCTCTCCTCCGAGTTGAGTATTCATGCAGTGGTGGAAATTCTCCGTCTTCGAAGCATGGAGGTGGTCCTCCACGTCCATGTATCGAATGACGATGGAGAATGTTATAACGAGCGAGATATATTCCAACAGAGGTCGGGGGAGAACGAATCTGGAACTGATCTTTCATATCAGTTCTACATTCGTTTTGCAATCTTTCTTTCCCGACCTTCTACAGCCGCCACTTTCTCTCCTGGAGTTCAAAGGAGAGAAAGTGGCGGAATCGAATGAGAGTGTAAGACGATGGCAGCCTAGGCTAAATCAAAGCAGAGAGTGGGCAGATAAAATCCGATGTAAAAACTTCTCATGTTTGTAGGACTTGTATATATTCAAAATGATCAAAACATAACTGTTTGAGTTTCCGATGTTATTCTCAGCAGCACATGAAATGAGCTGCTGAGTTCCGTTTGAAACAGTTTGTTGTCCGTCAAAGATTTCACCAGGGGCCGAGTACGAGGATCGTCAAACAAAATCTGATCCGAAGAGAACACTCCCTTGCGTTGTGTGAGAATCACATAATATCCGGCTTCGAACAATGGTGAGACCACATCCAACTGGACAATGACCGTGTCATTGAAGGTCTTTCGGGGACAGAAGGCCTTCAGCTGGGCCGCATACGCAGCAGGGATCGACGGACGGATCCGTGGCATGAGTCGAATTGAAATTGTAAAGTCGTGTAACAAGGGCGTCCCAGTGGCCGACTGCCGAAGTATGTGATCCTGGTGAAACACATACAACATCATCCTTGAGGCTCATGACAGACACCCACCAGCATACTGCAGGTCCTTGCAGTGAGAATGATTGAGGTGTATGTATCTGAAAGAATGACCATCTGATCCCTGGAATGTCCCTTTCTGTTGAAAGATGCAGGCAATCCATCCAAGTCCAGATTTTGTGAAGTGATTTCTTGTTCGGCGGATTCAGCCCTTGACACAAGGCCATCTCTCCGTCCTCCTTGCACGTTCCAGCTTGAGCCGTTGAGCTGCAACACCAGTTGCAAGAATCTGAAGATAAGTTCTGAATTCTCTTCAATTCCTGTTAAGAGCGCCTTGAATTGATGTGACATTCAGTGCATTGTGCTAAAATTTGAGCTCATGGAAATGAAGGTAGTCAAGTTCAAGTTCAATGTAGCAGCTACGCAGTCGAAGGCCCAGGAGTCTGCTCTTGCAGTACGCAGCTCGCGACGACGCTGTAGCGAGCTGCGTACTGCAAGATATCGGAGCATGACACCACGCCAGGGCAGACGGTCTCCAGCTCTTGCTTGGCCTTATCAATGATCTCGAAACTTTTGAGTAACTTATTAACAGCTGCAGCCTTCTCTGTGCCAGGACCATTCAGAAGAACGGATGCGTCGCAGCCCTGCCAAATGATGCACAGACACGCACTCTCGAGCTTAAAGTAGCTGTAGCATGTGAAACCAAGTCTCAATGTCCACCCGACCCAATTGGCTTCTTGAACTCAAGGCGATTAAACTTGCAGTGAACTGACTTTCTTGTGACCGATCATAGAATTTACCGTGCAAGGCTGCAGATGTATACTAGATGCAGATGACATGGAACTGCAACGTGATGCTGGTTTCGAGGTACTCACCTCGACGAAGCAATCGTGAAATGACAGACGTAGGAGGCCCGCAGCAAACCTCAAATGGATGCGACGGCTGGGATCACTGACATTCGCACGCACAACTCTCTCACCACTGACTCGGCACTCGGGCATGAATGACGATAGTAGTCATCTTGTAATCGATAGTGGGGTTTTGCAGCGCCGGCATCCACTCTGACTGACGACAAGAGGAAAACAAAAACTGGAAGAAGATGAATGGTAAGTTAGGTAAAAGCCATGCTTTCTGGTGTTTCCCACCGGAATGAGGATGATTCTATTTGCTGAGTGGAACTCGCTCTCAGACCATTGAGCTGGCATGAGGGTGACAAACACATGGCGACTGCAAGACTTTATGGGAGGCTTTGAAAATTACGAGAGGTGATTATAATAATATTCCATTTTATAACTATTTCATGATGATGAATGTACATATTCTCTAGTCTTGCAGTTTCACTGATCATGTGCAGTAAAATAATGCGCTCTTCAGAGGTTAATAGCCAGCTTTTGAGCTCTGATATTGCAATCAAATGTGTTGTTGCAAGAAGGAAGGCTTGGATGTACTTGACACCGACATATATCTGGAATACAAGAATTAGAACTCGTGCTGAAATGCAGGACGTAACGCCGTGACAATTGGTGAAACAGAAAAGTATTCCGTTCTGAATGTTCTTCAGTATTCTCACGATTCGACATGTCGAATCTCCAAGATCCCTGTGGATCTGTCAACTTCAGATCGGAGTTTCTATGGCGAAGCTGGCACTCGGCCGCTCGTGAGATCTTTGACGACCGACATATATGTTTTACAGTAACGAGCACTAAGATAATACAGCGAAAAGGATGAGAAGACCCATCTAGTATCACATGGATCGGAAAAAAATTCTGCTATCATGGCGCTTCGCCCCAGTAGGGGAATATATCAATGATTACCGGACTGCCAGCAAGGGCCATATGCAGTGGTTTCTACGAACATTCTGGAGTTGCTGCTAGTGGAAGTGCTACGAAGGTTGATGGTAGATTAACGTGTTCGAACTGTTTACGTTATAACGTGTATAAACAACAGAGCATACCAATAGTCATGAAGTAGTGTGATTGATTTCTATGGAAAACAGTAGTCAGAGTTCTCTCTAAAGCAATAGAAAGCATTTGTCAAAACGACAATGTATGATTACATTGACTGTTAATAAGTACTCCCGCTAAACCTGGGATCACCTTTTCTATGAAACAAGGTGATGATCATAATCTATACATCTAATTTGAAAGTGTATCACAGTGGCAACCGTAATCCACTCAAAGTCATAGTGACATCCACTCCACCTGACTCAAAATTCATAATATGATACCTAAAATAAAAAAATAAAAAAGGAATAGTATGAAACATGACCATTAAATACCAAGGTCATTTCTAAAATCATTAAATGTAAAATTAAGATTTACTATCCATCAAGTAAAATAAAATAAAATATTATTGTTCGAATTGTTTTCATAATGAAAGATTTATTTTTAAAACTACATTTGATAATCAATGTTAGAGTAAGATTGTAAGAAAATTTTTGAATATGGATATAAAAAAACATCACACTTTTAATTTCATGATTCATTAGTTAAAAATCATATAAGATAAATCCAAATGAGAATTAGTTCAGATGTCATACTATTGATATACTGTCATGACTTTTGATGTCTTAGTATCATTAAATTTTCCTTGTCTTAGACATAATCTTAGAAGCAATATCATATCAGTTTGGATATTTTTGTACCAACAGAGTTGGTACAAAAATATGAATATGTTGGTCCAACATATTCATACTATTTTGAAAATTTTCATATTAACATTTTTATACCAAGGTTCACTTTGTTCAAGTTTTTTTTTACACCACTTTCAGTTTTTTTCATACCAACATTTTGCATTACTTCAATAACTTTGTAGTAATTGTAATAAGTCACATGGTTCATCAATGCTGTTGCTCTTTAGTTGTTTTGTCTAGTAATCGTGTTGTTACACAACAACATTTGCAACAGCAAGAATAATATGATCAATCGTTAAGATTTTAGATAATAAAGTATGATTTACATTAAAAATTATTCTACAACCATTTTTTCATCTTTGTAAGGGCTTGATGATTAGATTCGGCTGTACGCAATATAAAACAAATTTTGAAGCATTTTTTTAAGTTATTTGCTTCAATATTGATTGAAATAGATTGTATATGAAGTTGTAGAAATTCAAACTTACGAGTTGAAAAAAATTATTGATCTAAGAATCTCAATTTTTTTCACATTTACATATAAATTTAACTGAAAATTATAAAAAATAATATATTTTTGGATTTATCTACTTTCGCCCTCTCGATATCTACCTTATCTAAAGCGTTGATATACTGTATTGTTTGTTGAGTTAGACTTTATTTGTGAATATGAATTAAATATAAAAATTAAAGATAAAATCTCAGTATTTGCATATAGAAATCTTCATCCGGGAATTTTGAAGAAGATACTTTTATTGTTTAATTAGTATAACTACATATTATTTTGTTTACAAATTGCAACGCTTTTCATTCCAACTCACAATACTCGGTGCTTCACGATACGCCGTGGTTTTGAACTGGAGCTCTGAAGTCAAAACTACAAAGGGGCCGTAAGAGGAGTACTTGGTCAGTACGAATTTATAAAGCGACAGTCTTTTCGAATTTCTCCATCATACAATTTGACTCCGATTGCAGCCATAGCGCGCATAGCTTGGTGGAATTTCTTCTCGAACAGTTTGTAGTCAGTCAAAGTTTTCACCAGAGGCCGAGTACGATGATCGTCGAACAGAATCTGATCCGAAGTGAACACCCCCTTGTGCTCTTCGAGAGTCACATAATATCCGGCGTCGAAGAATGCTGAGACCGCATCCATTGTGATAAAGACAGTGTCGTTAAATGTCTTTCGGGGACATGTGGCCTTCAGCTCGGCCGCATAAGCAGCAGGAATCGACGGATCAGTGGCATGAGTCGAATTGAAATTGTAAAGTCTTCTAACGAGGTTCTCGCAGTGGCCGGCCGCTGAAGTATGTGCTCCTGGTTCAATATAGACAACATCATTTATGAATTTCATTATAGAAACCCTCAAGCGTAATGCAGAATTTGGTTGTAAGTAGAGGTGTCTCCTGAAGCAGCTAATCAGAATGATCCAAGTGCTTGTACCTGAAAGAATGACCATTTGATCCCTGGAAAGTCCCTTTCTTTTGAACGATGCAGTCAATCCATCCAAGTCAAAATCTTGTGAAGGGATTTCTTTTTCGGCGGATTCAGCCCTTGACACACGGCCATCTCTCCGTCCTCCTTGCACCTTCCAGCTTGAGCCGTTGAGCTGCAACACCAGTTGCAAAAATCTGAATATGAGTTCTGAATTGTCTTCGAGGGCAAGAGCGGAGGGCAACTCCTATTTAGAGCCCCTTCAGTTAGATGTCAGATTTAGTGCAATTTTGCTAAAATTTAAGCTCATGGAAATGAAGGTAGTCAAGTTTGAGTTCCATGTAGCAGCTACTCAGGCAAAGGCCGAATGAGTATGCTCTTACGGCGATGACGCCATCGCGAGCTGCATACTGCAAGATGTCGGCGCACGACACCACGCCAGGGCAGATCTTCTCCAGCTCTTGCTTGGCTTTATCAAGGATCTCTAAACTTTGGAGGAACTTATTAACAGGTGCAGTCTTCTCTGTGCCGGGACCATACAGAAGAACGGATGCGTCGCAGCCCTGCCAAATAATGCACACACACACTCTCGAGCTTAAAGTAACTGTTTTGGAAACCAAGTCTCAATGTCCATCCCATCCTATTGGCTTCTCGAACTCAAGGCGATTAAACTTGCAGTGAACTGACTTTCTTGTGACCGATCATAGAGTTTACCGTGCAAGGCTGCAGATGTATACTAGATGCAGATGACATGCAACTGCAACCTGATGCTGGTTTCGAGGTACTCACCTCGACGAAGCAATCGTGAAATGATAGACGTAGGAGGCCCGCAGCAAACTTCCGATTGTCGACAACGGTGACATTCCCCATCACAACTCTCCTCACCACTGACTCGGCACTTGGGCATGAATGACGATAGTAGTCATCTTGTAAACCGTAGCTGGGATTAGCAGCTCCAGCATCCACTCCAACCGTGGACAATACGAAAACAAAAACTGGAAGAAGATGAATGCTAAGGCTGTTGAAAGTCATTTTTGCTCATCACCCGAATGACAATGATTCTAATCTGCTGAGTGGAACTCGCTCTCAGATTGTTGGGCCGAGATACGGGTTATGAACAATTGGCAACTCCAAGACTTAATAGGTGGACTTGAAAAGTACAACGAGTGGTGATTATAGCAATTTTCCATATTATAACTTTTCTGCATGATGATGAATGTACATATGCTCCAGTCGTGCAGCTTCACCGATCATTTGCAGAATGATGCAAATCTTCAGAGCTTATTACCCAAGTCTTGATCTCTGATCTTACGTCACAAACATGTGATTGCAACAAGTAATGCTCAAATGTACTTGACACGGACTTACATATGGAATAGAAAAGTCTAAAACTCGTGTAGGAATCCAGGACGTAACGCGGAGACAATCGGTCATACGGGAAAGTATTCCGTTTGGAAGGTTAATAAAATATTCTCACAAGTTTTCTATAGTAATGGGCACTAACTAAATTAATATAGCAAAAAGCATGAGAAGACACATTGAGTGTTACATGGATGGACAAAAATTGCTAACATGGCGTGCAGATTGCGTGGAATGATGCTTGACGCAACATCGAAGCAATATGCACGCCTCATGATCATAGATTTTAATTAAATATGTTAGAAGACTGCGAAGTTGATTAGTGCCTTTATGCTCACACAGAGAAATGCCGATGAGATCGCGATCACATTCGTCACAGAGTCATCGGATGAGATCGCAATCACATTCGTCACAGAGTCATCGGATTTGGTTTGTCTGCGACTTGGTGCTAGTCAGAGGACTTAAAAACGAATTTCGTTGACTTTTAAGCAAAGACGAAAATATATTTTCTTCTATTTCTGGGTTTTCCTCCCTTTTAGTGTGATAACTATTATTACAAATGTGATCACGACCTCATTGGCATTTCAGCATTATATGCATTCCACAGGCACTGATCAACATCACAGCCTTATAATTTCAAAATTAAAATTTATGATAATGAGGCGTGCAGATTGCTTCGAGCTTGCAGAATTTCCAGCTGGAACAAATGGAACAAATTTGCTTTCGTTTCTGGAACAAACGAATTCACCTTGTGGGGGAGGGCTTATCGTATAAACAGTCAAGGTAATTGTGTATTCTAATGTTCACAGATTCTTTCCATAGCTATAGAGAGGACTACTATTATCGATATAAATCAATCACGTTATTTTATGACTCTTGGAATGCTTTATTGTTTCATACCCTCTGACGTAAATAGTTCGAATCCGTCATAGTAGAATCAACTTTCCTGTCACTTCCGCTGGCAGGAAATTCAAAATGCTGGGAGAAACCACTGCATATGGCCCTTAAGCTAGTTAAGCTAACTATAACTTAAGCTAGTTAGTGCCAATTACTATAAAAAGCTTGTGAGAATATTTAATTCACCTTCAAAACGGATTACTTTTCCGTTTGACCGATTGTCTTCGCGTTACGTCATGGATTCCTACACGAGTTTTAGACTTTTCTATTCCATATGTATGTCCGTGTCAAGTACATTCAAGCATTGCTTGTTGCAATCACATGTTTGTGAATGTAAGATCAGAGATCAAGACTTGGGTAATAAGCTCTGAAGATTGCATCATTCTGCAAATGATCGGTGAAGCTGCACGACTGGAGCATATGTACATTCATCATCATGCAGAAAAATTATAACATGAAAAATTGCTATAATCACCACTCGTTGTACTTTTCAAGTCCACCTATAAAGTCTTGGAGTTGCCAATTGTTCATCACCCGCATCTCGGCCCAGCGGTCTGAGAGCGAGTTTCACTCGGCAGATTAGAATCATTGTCATTCGGGTGATAAGCAAAAATGGCTTCCACCAGCCTTCGCATTCATCACCTGCCAGTTTTTGTTTTCGTATTGCCCACGGTTGGAGTGATGCTGGAGCTGCTAATCCCAGCTACGGTTTGCAAGATCACTACTATCGTCATTCATGCCCAAGTGCCGAGTCAGTGGTTAGGAGAGTTGTGCTGGGGAATGCCACCCATCGCAACAATCAGAAGTTTGCAAACTCTTGATTGTTGCGGGTCTCAGTACGTATGTCATTTCACGATTGCTTCGTCGAGTTGAGTACCTCGAAACCAGCATGAGGTTGCAGTTGCATGTCATCTGCATCTGGTATACATCTGCAGCCTTGCACGGTGAACTCTATGATCGGTCACAAGAGAGGCAGTTCACTGCAACTGCAATCGAGTGTGTTCGTTCGTCATATAGCAGGGCTGTGACGCATCTTTCTTCCGAATGGTCCTGGTACAGAGATGACCGCAAGCGTCAATAATTGAGAAAGCCAAGCAAGAGCTGGAGAAGGTCTGCCCTGGCGTGGTGTCGTGCGCCGACATCTTGCAGTATGCAGCTCGCGATGGCGTTGTCCTCGTAAGAGCATCCTCCTTCGGCCTTCGACTGAGTGGCAGCTACATTGAACTCAAGCTTGGCTAGCTTCAGTTCCATGGGCTCAACTTTTAGCATAATGCATTGAATGTGACATCTAACTCAAGGAGCTCTGAGCATGAGTTGCCTTCCGCTCTGGACCTTAAAGAGACTTCAGAACTTATTTTCAAGATGACCATCTTTGCAGATGGTCTCTTGCAACTTAACGTCTCAAGCTGGAAGGTGCAAGGAGAACCGAGAGATGGCCTTGTGTCAAAGGCTGATTCCGCAAAAAATGAAATCCCTTCACAACATCTGGACTTGGATGGATTAATAGCATCTTTCAACAGAATGGGACATTCCAGGGATCAGATGGTCATTCTTTCCGCTACAAGCACCTCGATCATTCTCACTAGATGTCTTTGATCCCAAGCAAGGACCTGCAGTATGCTGGTGGGTTTCTGTCATGAGACTCATAGATGATGTTGTCTTTGTTTCACCAGGATCACATACTTCAGCAGTCGGCCTCTGCGACGCCCTCGTTACATGACTTTACAATTTCACTTCGACTCATGCCACTGCTCCGTGAATCTCTGCTGCTTATGTGGCCCAGCTGAAGGCCGTCTGTCCGCAAAGGACCTCTATCGACACTGTCTTTATCATATCGGATGTGGTCTCACCATTCTTCGACGCCTGATGTTATGTGACTCTCGAACACCACAACCAAATATTCACTTTGCATCAGATTTTGTTCGATGATCCACATCGCACTCTGCCTCTGGGACGGACAACAAACTGTTCGAGTAGAAACTCGGCGAGGCTATGCGCGCTATGGCTGCAGTTGGAGTCAAACTGTATGAAGGTGAAATTCGAAAAGACTGTCGCATGATCAATTCGTACTGACCAAGTCTTGATGATTTCGACCCCTATGTAGAATCGACTTCAGAGCGCAAATATAAAACCAGTACATAGCATGAAGCTCCGAGGATTATGATTACAAATGATAGAAGAGTTTTTTCACCAAAAAATTAAAATAAATATATATTAATATGATTTCGCACATATTAATTTTAACTTTGAAATTTTTTTTGGTTTCATACCATCGGGAGAAAGCGGGAGAATTTGATAAATTGGAAATTCTGTTCTATGTATCGCAAGTACATACATCATTGTATCATAGTATTTCTTATCTCCCTTTTCTGTCATTAATTGTGTCAACTACGTGCACGACTCTTGGCGCACAGGAATCGAGAAAAACATCGAGGTAGTTTCTTCTTACAGAACGACCTTGTGAAATTGGTGATTCATCTTCAATTTCATCGAACGATATTGGTGATCAATGCAAGATCGCAACCCCATACTCATTGAAACTCTGCCTCGTTAAGTACTCCCTCGTTTCAGATGAAATGTTTCACTTGTGTATCAATAAGAGGAAATTAATCTATGGTACCCATCCGTAACGTAAAACACTTGACAAGACCCTAAACTATTCATTGGACCACCCAATGCATGCACTCCACCCTCACCAGCGAGTTCTTGTATTGAGAGTTAAATGATAGATTTTAGTTGGTAGTAGAAGGGATCTCGGAATGGGGATAGGCCCTTGTTGACACAACTCCTGGACTCGTCTAAGATTGATTTGAGCATGATTCAGAACATGGACAGTCTTTAGTCAATCGGAAAGTGGGGGTTGGAAAATAATTTTTTTACACTGACTTGATCATTACGTTATATAAAACAAACCAATCACAAATTTTGCTAAAACTAAACTATAACTATGTCGAGAACTAGTTTTGAAATCGAAAACACACGGTACAAAAACACAGGCGTTACGAGAACTCCAAGAGTAACATTGGTGACGGTGGGCTGTCGGAATGGTCCCATCGGGTAAAATAAAAAGTATGGGTCTAGTCAAATGTTTTTCGTTCGGGATAGGTACCATCAAGTAATTATCTCGTAACAATAAAGCAAATACAGAACTGATGTTGCATTATATATATAAAACCTCATACATCTGTATTTTTTTATTTATAGACTAGATACAAAATAATTGTGATATGATTTTCAAAACTTTGAATGTATGAAAAGTCATCGACCTTTAACCAATTTCATTTGATGAGGTGGTTTCTCAATTTGCGGATGACGGAAATCACGTAAGTAGCTCAACATCTGAGTGAATTCTTTACAATATAATCCGATTGAGAGGAATTGAAATTTATACGACACGTTTGCTATACCATAAAGTATAAAGTTTTGCGCGTCATAAAGTTTTAGAGGTACTTCACAGATCTTTATCTCGTCAGAAGGCAAAGATTTAAAATTTGATATTCGTTTTAATATAATGGTTATTGAGAAGTATCGATGGAGACAATTGGATGCATAATCAGACTTTTCAATTTTACAACTAGAGTTCATAGGAGAAAAGAGCAAAGTAAAGAGCAAAGAGCAAAGTACTGTATAAAATAGATTAAATTATCACATGTAAAGGTCTTTGGTTTTGTATCATCTGCGTTTAATAATGGAAACATGAATAGTATATATTCCAAATCCAAAAGTGTTTCTTTTTTTGGCTTTAGTGAGGATGAGTTTGGATAAGATGGAATAAAATATGTATATGATCCACAACATAGATGTGATATTGAGTAAAAGAGTGTTACGGGATGTGACACTCTTTTTTGTGAAATACACAACTAACTTCCAATTTCGAAATATTATCTTTCCTTTTCTCTTTTCCAACTTGATGCTATGTCCTACTAGCGATGGTGGTGACTTTGTTAGAGATATTTTTTTCCAATTTCGGAGTCCTAATACGTCCTAGAAGTAATTTGGCTTGATTGGAGTATATATAGAGAATCTTGGGATATTTTCTATCACTCTTCAACAGTTATTGTAATCTGTTCTTGCATTTATTGATTCTGAATCTATTTCAACTTTGTTCTTGCTTCCATTTGATATATCCTTTCAATTATGAAATCCGTTCCATCTGGGAGGTAAGTCAGCAACAAAGAGTGTATACAGAGACAGGGACAAAACCGATGGAAGCAATTTTTCCCTAAATCTTTACTACATTCCATGTAGTATAGTGCTAGAGGGAATCGTAACAAACCCTCCATATAAGAACTCGTTGGACAAAGAAATGTAAGTTAGGCATAATTGGCGTAACTTCGTTATCTTATTGATCTTCAATCTACAGGATTGATTGCAAGGTGCTAAGATATTGGCGACTTCAATATCATCGCTGCACGCATTCATGTCTCACATAAGAAAATCTTACGAACTCCTTACTAGTTTGAAAGCCTAGCAAGTTGAAACCGTAGGCGCAATCGAGGTCTCCTCCTTACGCTTCAAGGTTTGAAAGGCGATCTCAATCCAGTGACAAAGAATCGAATCTAAAGTCAGTGCTTCAAAGCGCCAATTTCACCCCACCACTCGGAGGAATGAATCCAATTGAACATGGCTGCTCGATGTTGACAGAATGAAGGTATCACATAATCGGACACATCATCCAGATATTTCGCCAATCCTGATAGTTTTCCATGCGGTGCAGCACCGAACCTTTTCAAAGAATTAATTAAATCCAAAATATCTGATGACGGCGTGCCGGAAGATAAGATGGCCAAAACTATTTTCAGAGCGATACAGTACTTGATGCCATAAGAATCTCTTGTTCTTCATTCAGAAGCGACAGAACAATCTAAAGTGATGAATCTGTGCAACTCAGGAAGAAAAAGGTGGACAGAGACCTGGGATTGTCCATGAACTAGAATAGAAAAGCAAAGGGAAATGAAAGTCATAACTGGAAGACAAAGCTCTAGATATTATACATTTATAATAGATATTATTATAGATATTGACCTGTAAATTAAAATTGATATCAGGACCCAGAATCAATCTTATTTGGACTCAATCTAAATCCTGGCTATTGCATAGGATGCAAAGCTTCGTATGCAATGAAATACTTTATTTCAGGTAGACACTTACACGATCTCTCCATTATACGCCTAGTGTTTCGATACCACGTCTTGTTGAAGAAGTGGGCGATCCAGATTACTCCTGTTGCAACTTCACGAGCAGGTTGACAGGTTGATCCAGCATGTGGTTCCTGTTCTCGAACCGAGTGGACATTTGATTACGTTTACAGTTCAAATTGCGAACCAAGAAGCTTGACAAATTTTCTATAAAAGATTCATTATGAGCAAGGGAGTGGGATTGGGTTAAATCTGAATTTCCAAAGGAAGTAGGACTCTGTTGCAAATCAGGTTATGCTGAGGCATCGTTTTTAACTGTTTTCTTGTTGGACAGGTATGAATTGGGACACTGTATAGAGCAGAAACATCCTCCCCGATGTTCGACCCCGTCACATCAATTCTTATGTAAGAAGTAATGTGGGATAGCTGCGGTCAGGAACGACCCTCTAACAAAGAAGAAAGAGAATCCTGAATTGGATGATGTGATACGGTCGAAGGTTTTCTTCCACTGCTCCTCCACTCAAGTGTGAGGTAACACCTCATATTCTAGTGGAGGAGCATTGAGCGTGAGGAGTTACCTCACGCTAACAGGAAAAAGGTGATCAAATCATCCCTCGAGATTGAGTGCATTATCTCGAAGTCTCGCGTCTGCACATGTCGCACTGCTGCAGGATTATCGAGTCACGATCACCCCACTGAGCTCACAGCCTCTTGTTAGCAAGGATGCTGGAGGAAGCATGTGCACCCCTCAGCCCAAGGAGCTTGTCCAATCTCTCCCTTCTATCGAAGATCAATCTGATACAGGGTAGTCCCAATCTGGACGCATACGCATACGCAGTACTGAAGAAGCTAATAAGACAATCCATATGCTAAAATTGCGAAGCAACTGTCGATTCAGGACAACTGCTTGAAGCAAAGCAGTTGCACTCTGATTCCACGCTGTACGTTGCCTTGTCTTACTACCTAGACACTCGATCTCGCAGAAGTCAGGAGAAGCAGTCCGATGAACAAGACTTGCAGTACTGATATGAATGAATACCTGCAGTGCTGTAACAGGGCACTTGTGACATGTGAAGATTTGCAAGATGCAGAGGCTCCTTTCGATTCATGCCTGTGACACGTCTGACACAGTGCTATTTGCTATGCATCACGCGAGCACTGAGGAGTGAAGTTCTTACCCTGTAGGCAGGCAGGGATGACGGAGCAGTATATCGTGAAGCCAATAGCTGACGAAGGTGAATCTGAAAAGCCTGTGTCGGCTCGATAGCAGGGGACAGGGAACAAGATCACGGATGTATGTTATCAAACTACGATACGTATCCTCCAAGCAATTTTGTTTCGTGTATCGAGAAATTTCTTACATGTGGAACTTGTTAGAAAACTTGTATTCTATAGTTCCTCCGTTTCTCTACACTCTTTCACTACTTCCTTGGCATGTTGGGGATTCCTTGAGGAGATGTGGAACGGTGTCGGAAAATTCCTCATAGCTACGGTAGCGGATCATCGACGAAGAAGACAGCGCGAGTCCCAGAAGAAAGACCTGCAAGAGGAGAGCGAAGCGCACACACCTCTGGGTAACAAAGTACACAGGTACTGGGACAGGCAAGTGGATAGTCGTTGCCGCAGACCAAATATTAGGTGGATTTTGTGATTCACACAAGACCTATGATCATGAGCACTTTCTGATTCACTCCAGCAGTCGTCTTCGGACTCTGAGACTCTGAACGGTTTGGTAGATGTTACTACTATTTGCTCAGATGGATATCAGATTCGTTCAATTATGCTTAGCTCGCAGAAATGAATAGAATAAAAATCCTTAATTAGGAGCCGAATTCAAAAGGTTACGATGTTTGAGGTGAGCTTTTTGCTCTTATCTGTAGATGCTCATTGAAATGCTTGCTTTTGTTCTGATCATTTGTTTCATAGACGGTGGAGTTCAAAATCCAGTCCATGCATGCTTTACAGCTCTAAGACGATGATCTGGCAGCTCCTCATGTTTACCGACATTCTCTTCTCCTTCGCAAAATTGTCCAACTGTGATGTGTTTTCGATCTTGCACCAATCTTGCCTGGATTCGTCGTTAAAGGTAGGTTTCGGTGGAAGGTTCCGAAGCGATTTCTTCCAACGACCACACCTCTGTGAATCAGAACTTAAGAGTTCATTTAGCAGCATTGCTTTTGCTCCTGCTTGTTAGGTCTGGTGCAAATTTTGTTGTAGGATATTATACAGCACGAGCTGAGAGAATGCCAAGGATGCGAAGCCATTATGTCCTTCCCACGTGACCACATATTATGAATGTTAATTTAATCTCTTTCTTGAAGGTTAGAAGATGTACGTCCCATGAACCTGGAAATGCGAAGGAGCAGCAATTTTGTCCCATGTCATCCTGAGCTCAGATGTCATGTCTCGATCCTTGTCAGTTCTTTGTTCCCGAGAGCGCAGAGAGTGGGCATGCTCGTGTGTTGCTCAAAGTAGTGTCAGACGTTTTCTTCAATGTCCATTACTGTCCTGGTTAGATGAAGGTAAACTAAAGGCGAGCTGAAGTCTAATATATGCGAAAGGTATTCCTTGGTTGCTAAACTTTCAGTGGAAAGTACCACGATGTCAGTGTCATAATATACCGACCTAAGAGTTATAGAGGTGCATTCCCTTTTTCAGATCCCATTAATCTTACAGTAAGTTGTTGACGATACTTTGAGCATAGTAGATAATCAACGTTTGTTCTATTTGCTGTTTGGGGACCAGTCAATCAATCATCTCAGATTTCATTCGCAGAGAGACAACCTCATTAGGTTTGATCCAATTCAGGACTAGTCTCATTGCTAGGTACATTGCATCTCAGAGTAAATTGTGGCTTGTTGTCTTGTGTAAGCGTTGAGCAGAGATTTCAGAAATTTATCGGGACTATCTATAATTTTCAAGTTTGCTTTGATTGTTGAAAACTTTCACAACCTGTCCGCGAGTTCTACATGAAAGTTGATATTATAATTTGTCCCTGCAAATGCAAAGATATTGCTGTTCTGCTTGCAGAGAGGCTTTGCTATGTAAGTAAGCTGATGTAAGTTGCTCGTAACCCCTGAACCTAAAATGAGGTTTCTCCTCACTGTAAGTCATGGTTTCGAGTTCTGCAAGCCTCATTTTCTTTGCAACAAGTGTTCACATGTTCAGGTGCATCAGAAGGTTCGAGAATCTGAAACAGAAACCCTCGTACTGACAAGTTACCAGTGCATGCTTGGCCTATTGAGAGCTTCCATCAGGTCTGCGCGGTTTCTTCTGGTTACTGACGCCTTGGATATGGTTGATTCCGCTAGATATGGAGTATGTAGGGCCCAGCACGGGATTGGCCCAATGTTCGGAAAGAGATTATGAGTCCGGGCCGATTTACAGCAATCAAAAGCCCGGTAACTTTGGATCTGCTCGTAGAACAAGAATTTATGGCAATCATTTACAAAGAGCTAAGAAACTATACTTACAGGGCTTTCACCCCTCTCAGAGATTTCTCTATGTACACAGGACACTGATTATAAATTCTAACTCATCAAGCAAGCGACTAATCTACCGGTTGACCTCGAAATTGAGGTCCACATGTTGGACATGGCGACAGGAATCGAAACAGAGGAGACATGATTCCTGTCGTTCGCCGCTTAAGATGGCCCATCTCCACGGTCAGCCATTGTGGTGTCCAAGATGATCTGACATGCATCGTTTGAGAGGTTTCAAGCGCAAGCATGCAAGGCCAAAGTAGTGTGATAGCAGTAAAAGCTCCAACGTGGACGGAGGACGGACTGTAGAATTGTAGAAGAACTTCCCCAGAAGGTGAGAGACGAGGCCTCTTGATATTGGAATACTCAATGATTCGAGATAATGACACTCCTCCCAAGGTCAGATGTAACCTTTAAATAGGTGCTGGGAGGCTGGAGCAGCTTTGTTGAAAAAATTTACCATGTGAAATGTCATGGGGATTCTGTATCTAAAGCATGCTTTCCACTAGGAATGTACTGTACCTGGGGCGCTCGTCGGTATCTTGCTGTTTAGCTAGAGTACATTCCATATGGCCGCACTTTTTTTCTACTCGAGAGCTCGACCCGTGCTCCAAGAATGTGAACTATCTGTCACTCAATGAGTCGACCACATTTATATCGATTTTTTCAGATTCTTTTATCTTATTTGCCAAGTTTCTCGCCATGCCCAGTTGCATATCTCGTTGAAACTCGAGGGTCCAGCCAATCATGGTTTCAAAGTAAGTCTAGTACTTAATTTTCTGCGATCAAAAGCCACACCACACCCACACACCAAAAACCCATCACGTCAATAATCATATATCGCCTGCTAAAATAATTCTCATTCTTATTTCAACATCAACCAGCTAAATGAATTGAAACCAGCTACTGTGTAGTACTTCTTTTGAATCGAGTCGGAGAACGAAGCATCGACTTAAGTGACAATATCTACAGTACTCTATTCTGATCATCTACTTTCCTGTCGCACCTGCTAGGCTTGTCTTCAACTAAGCTAGATCCGTTGAGGTCCATGATCAGATCAGGAGATCTAGACGTGTTTTCTGCGGATCCACGATGAGGTTCAAGAGGTACCGTTGAAGGAGAGGTTATCCAAATGCGATAAATGCTAGATGGGCTGCTAGGAAGAAGATCCTGCCACAACCAGAAGACACTAATTTGGGATCGTGATATCTAGCAACACATCGACTTGACCAAACGACGGCATGATTTCAGCAGGTTTAAATGACAAGAGTAAGTTATCTGTGTAACTACATTGACACGTTCCGTCTGCTTTGCGGAGCCTGAGTATTTCATATCCGGACGGCGGATGAATGCAGTGCACTACTTTGTCGATGATGAGACTTCAGTATAATAACGAGGGAGGATGTTTTCCTATCTTCTTTCCCTGATGTAAAAAGCAAACGAACTAAGTAACTGACTGGCTAAACTGTTCGACCTTTCATGTAATCGATCGTAGCAAAAAATATCACAAAAATATGGGCATGAGACGGTGGACTCCGTATTGTTTTTTGAAGCATTATCTTCCATTATTCACATGCTTTACATTATTCAGAGTTTCTTCTTGTGGCGACACATATTATACTAGCAGGTACTCCAAACTCAACGCTGGAAAGGTGATTCTCTACGGAAGCTTAAATTAAACCGTGTACAAAATTATCAGTCATCTGCAGTTTCTTGCGTTTTTTTCTCACCTACTAAAAATAAGCTCTACAGGCGGAATCTACCTCTCCTCAAGTGCTGTCAAAGGTTAAGAAAGCTTTGACCTCTATATACAGAAGTGGACCGTACTGACAGTAAAACACAACACTTTTTTGGGTTATCATGAGTGGCTTTGGAAGCTGTGGAAGTCATGGGCATTGTTAGATGGTCATCCATGATCCCAGGCTGGAAAAAAAATTATCTCTTGTCGACGAAAGATGTCACATGTGTTGATCATGGATAAATGGTGGCAGCCCTTCTGACAATAGAAGGTTCCTCATCTTCATACCAACCCACAGAATTTTCATATCGCTAGCTTGGGTAGCTAAGGCCGAACAGTTGTCAGAGATGGCTGTACAGTTTTCGACAAGAGTGGCATGTAAGAAAAAAAGAAGTAGAGGCGTGTTGGATTGAATGAGGGAAGGAGGGAGTCATCGATTATATTACTCCATGTGATGGGGAGACAAGCATGCAGTTTCAGAGTCGTCGAATAAGAAGGAACGCTGACGAGAGAAAGTGCGAGGAGGAGGGATGATTCTCGGAACAAATTCGACTACCTGATCTCGATCTTCTCCATGTTGGTCGTTCAGGAGAGGTTGGGTGAGTGAGGAGACAGATGTGGGAAAGTGTGGATGAGCGCTAGCTTCCAGATCTTCGTTCTTGGTTTCTGCTGCAATTTCCAATGCATCTCTCTTCCGGTGTTCCACTTGCCCCCATGTCACCAGGTATAGCCCCAAAACTGCTCCTGAACCTCCAACAAGACTGCACTCCATACGGGGCCCCAGTTCAAGCACAACGTCCGTCAGATTCATGACCCCAAAACAGCACAAAGCTCGAAACACCTTCAAACGACGAAGAAGAGACATTTTGATACATACCTGCCCAAATACAAGGAGTCGCCAAGTAGAAGAACGGACAGGAAGGCCACAATGATCGTCTGCACGGGTGTGTACAGTGATACGAGAAGAGGCCCACCCTTCTGGATAGCCCACGACTGCAGGGAGAAGTTTATACCCGACGATATAACACCCTGTACATGTGCTCAATTTAATCAGCATACGATTGGATCAGCCTTTATCAAGCATTGAAAGTCACGGAACTGATGGTGTTGCTGACTACTGTACGATTCATCTAGAAGAAGAACTTACAGCGTACGCGACACTGATGGCTTGTGCGCCCCACGAAAGAGACCAGTTAATTTTTCCTCCCGTTACGATGAACATTAAAACTCCGACTTGCAAGGAACCAAAGAAATACGTGAAGGCGGTGATCGTCAACGGGGTCGGACAAACTTTCAGGATCGGAGCCTGCACAGGAACACCAGGAACAAAGCGAATGAGCTAAATTCCACCACAACTGCATCCAAATTTATTCCAGCCAGGGGATTCACATAACTGAGAGCGAAAGCGAAGAGACATAAATCGCTCACCTGCATTATCAAATATGCAGCCCAAGAGATACAGTTGATGAGAAGCAAGATTCCACCGAGTTGCCACTGGGAGATCCCAAATCGAACGAGATGGGAACCCAAAAAGTGGCCAACAAGTTTGTGGAGGTCTTCGTTGCCATCTTCTTTCGCCCAGCCATGATACACGGCGGGTCCCTTGTAGACGGACATCAGAATTGCACCCGCAACGCATACGACAGTTCCCAACACCTTGGCCTGACCATCGAGTCTGCCAATCCGCACCTTTTCAAGTCTGGTCCAACACATGCACCTGATTAGTATAATGGATCCGAGCAGACTTTGCCACGACGTCTCACAAAGTCACCTGCAATTATTGATCGACAAGACTCTATCGTTGAACCTTTGACGCCTTTTGCTGGACAGCCACAGAATCTGCGCTCAGGGAATCCAAAATTCCGACATGATTGAAGGCTATGACATCACGTGCTCACCCCAACATCATTGCCATGAGAAACGTGATCACGGGCACTGCATTTTGCATCGTGGCAGCGAATGTTGCTGAAGTGTAGATTAAACCCGCAAGAAAAAGCTGTTGGCTTCCAACGATTCTGTGGCATCATTGCGAGAACGAGATCAATCAATGTGCGAACACAAGAGCGAGCGAATCATGTAATATGGACAATGCTGCAAGAACCAAGTCCGACAGAAAGCTGAACGCGCTAGTAAACAGCGAAGCTTACCCTGTCAACCCAAGGAGGAAGAATCTGTACATCAATTTGAGAGTCATGGGCGGTCTGTCCTTCCTGCAAGTGGAGAGCACCAGTCAATCAGGTTAGAGCTAATCCGAGCTAATTCGAGCTGATTCGAAACGACATTCAGCAGAAAGACGAAGCACCGTGCATCGATCGCATCTCCATTCACAGTTCATCAATGCGGCGAGTCCGGGCTCAGGCTTCACAATTGACGAGCGTGATCGTGTACATGGAACTTACTTTTCCAGGACGTAGGCAAAGGGGCCCATAATGATCAAAGCAAGCCCATTACGGTAGATAGCATAAACGAATTGGCTCAGCCCACTGGTCAGCGCAACTCTGCTCAAAATTTGGTGACCGGCGAATCCGAGTTGCATCATCATGAGCGCTGCGTGAACCTTGCCAGTTCCATTGCAGAACCAGTCGACGCAGCCAAATCGTTTCTTCTGCTCCGCCGCAATTTCCATCTTCCCCGACCCGTTCACTCTCTCCTGCCCCATTCTGGAATATCTTCACAACCACGAGCCAACACAACACACACGATCGCACGGTCAAAGGTCCGGAATGAATCGAACTGATTCTGAACTGATCAATTACTGCGCTTCCGCACATTAACAACGACGTGCCTCTCTCGAACCTCGACTCTCATGCATCCGGGTCCACGGGCAAGCACAGGCACCGAAGAGCTTGCCCTCCTCGAAGATTGTCAAATGACTTTGCCTCGACTGTCAACAGACTCTCTCGAGTCTCGTCCTACGAAGGAACACTGCGGTAGCTGCAGCTGGACGTCAATTCGTCTTCAAATTTACACCAGTTCATTTGCAATTCACTCTCCCCATTGAAGCTCATCCGCGATTGTCACTGACACCGCGCAGGTCCCGGTGCAGTGGAACCGTCGACCAGTAGAGGGAGGTCGTATCGAGAGCACGCACTATGGCACATTGACAGGTCCGACAGAAGTGATGCAGTAGACTGTACCAGAAAAGTAGATCTATGACAGCCCACCGAACGTAAGACGCGGTGATGTCAGACGTGCCCTGAGTGCCAAATCTGGACAACCTGAGCTCTGTGTCCTATGGTTCGGTCGGTAAGACGTCGTGAGCAAGAGGCTACGCGAGTACTGTACTGTAGTCTCGAGGCTACTGAAGGCTTCTGGACATCGCTTTCTTGTCCGTCGTGAGCCATGAGTGCTGCACATGTATATCACACACCACCTTCCACCTCGTCGTCTCGAATTCATGCGGCTGCAGTACCAGACCTCGGATCGCAGAGTTCGATTTCGATGCTCTCCGGATTCTGCAGAGAGTTCTCAGACTGCTGCCTTGAGGGAGGGAGCGAGGGCGTGGTGCAGCTTCCAAGTTCCGGATTTCAATTTGGAACCATCCTGACCGAGAAGTGTGGAAGAGCATTGGAGGAGTTTCGTGAGGGGAGGGGAGAGTGTGAACTAAATCAACGCTCTCGTGTGAAAGCTACCTTCTCCTTTTATGCGAGCCAGGCTGAGGCCAGTGCTCGGAGCCTGGTGAAAGGATTTCTAGTCCTCAAACAGTAAAATCTCAGCACCAACTGTGCCTCGATTCTGCACCGGATTGGATCTCAGTGTGGGCACAACTCGGCAATTTGAGAACATCATCCTCCTCCGGCCCAAAGATTCCCGAAGCTTTACAAGGAACGTATGAAACTATGCTGCGGATGTGCTGCGAGCCCGAATTTCTAGCCATGAATCTCGTTTTGACTGCCCGGCTGTAATTCCTGAAAAATCTATGGACTCCGATGTGCACCAGGTCCCTGTGGTGCACAGAGGTGAGGATGTCAACAAGCGGGGCGAATTCACGTCAACCGCAACTTCTCGCCGAGGCAGGCGCGCATGTACGTGCACATGGAAAGGAGCAGGTCACGAACCCGAGGACCTGCATTGAATCAGCGAGAAATATCGCACAAGAAGAAATTGGAGGGAATTGGTGACGATTGGGGAGGCGACGATGATGACAGAGAGACACGGAGGTGATGCGAGGCCCAGACGGACAGACGGGGGAGGCAGTACGACATTGCGACAGGAGGAGGGGATACGCACCGGCTGGTCGAGCAGAGGGGATGTTTTTCTCGACTGTATCACGGCAGTGGAGTCCTTTCTGTGCCCTGAGCCTTCAGCTGGTCAGGAGTCTCGTGGACTTGCTACGTCGGCGGCTGACACTGAAAGCTTCGACAGTCTGCGAGCATAAATTGCCGAGCGCACAGCCGCGACAGCCCAGACCAGCAGCTAATTCGGATCTCGACCTCTCATAAATCTGTCATTCAGTACCGTGGACCGGATAGATCTCCCCGCTCACGAGATTCAGACTCGAAGGAGGGAGGATCTGTCGCGGCGTACGTCTCAATCCAAATTCTCTGGCAAGAAAGTTCTCCACCATGAGAAGTGTTCCCCGCTCGTGGTTTTCATCACTCGCCCTCCCTCCCCTAGGCCGCTCGGCCTGCCTACAGCAGCGCCCTGTACCGCCCGGATTTCCTTCGGGCTAATCAGCTGACGGCATCTCCAGCGCAACTTTCGTTCCATGCGGCCCGCAGAGACCGCGAGTCCCTACTCGTGATCAATCAATTCCACCCCGGGCGACGACTCGGTCCACGGCCCTCCCTCCCGCTCGCCTCATCGGTTCGTGCTCGCCGTTCCCGACTCCTCCTCCTCCTCCGCAACTCGGTCGCTCTCTCGCCGTCTGCCTCCGCGTGACACGGTCGCCCGCTGCCGAACTGCGTCCCTTCCCTCGAACGTGCACGTCGATGAAGGAAGGACTCCGGGCACATTTTCTTCGAGGTGCTACAAAGTCCCTCGTGAGCCAGCCAGCCACCTGGCGGTGGCGGTGGCGGCCGCTACAGCGTCGCGTGAGGTGCGTCCGTAGTTGCTCTCCGATGTCGAATCCACTGACTGTGATTGACGATATCCCAGCCCACGACGGCCCGGCACGTACGCAGTCGAAACTGCGTCGACATGTTTTCCATCCTCCCTTCCGCTCTCCCGCTCGCGCTTTGCGGATGCCCGGTTGGCCTCCACGTGGCGATCGGTAGGGCCTCTCGGTTGTTCGCGATGGCCTCTCTCCGTCGCTACGTCAGCTACGTCATCTATGAATATTCCGTTGAGGGGGAAACTGTGGGGGGCGAGGCCCGACGAGAAATGTCCCCTGACCTCGACGCAACGACCCGAATGAATACCCGTCCTGCAGTGAATACCCGTCGTCACCGGGCCGCCCGCCCGCGATCTCAAGTTTCGCGTGCTGGGGCTGGGAATCGGTGAGATCTGAGCGGGACGGCGGGTCGGAAGGAAGGCGGGCGGGCATGCAGATCCATAGAGCGGGAGTCAATCGGACAACCCATAATGATGGCGATGGTGGTGATGATGATGATGATTTGGTGACCGGTCAGTAACTCATGCCTCGGTCTGGTAAGGCTCGCGGAGCTCGCAGAATGTGGAATGTGCGCATTATGAGCACCACCTCAACGAAAGGAGGCTGATTGATCTAAACACCACTGTCCTTACTGTGTACGTCCTCTGGAATGTGGTCTCAAGTCGTACGCTAGCTGTAGTATTGCGACGTGGTAGCCCGTACACTGCTGAATACGCTTGCGAGAGCAGCTTCAAAGGAAGTGTATTCCAACTGTCGAGTGGAATTTTCTGATCGCAGCGAATTCCTGGTTTCTAATATACTGTAGTCCAAATTTGCAGTCTTTCATAACTTCCACATATATCTGAGCAACTGCAACTCATCTTGAACATCTTCTCATTGCCATTTATCACTTCTGGTGGCTGTGAAAGACATCCTAATCTGGCATAAATTCAAGCGGTACACATAATTTGTGGTCTCTATTGATTATGGTGTGGCCTTTGCTGTGTACGTTTTGATCGATTCTTCCCTCCTCTTTCGATTGCATGCTTGATCTCTTTCGCGCATATTATTTCTGGATGCTTTCTGACTTGACTCGCCATCCGTAAGCACACTTGATGCTGCGCATAATGAAACGGCGGGTGTCAAGGACAGACTGTATGGTTCTGCACTCGCGGAACAGTCGCTCGCTTTTGATTCTCGTGACCATCTCTTGACCGCTAGAGTTGAGCTCCACATAGTACTCACCGGAGGGAGGGAGGTTAGGGTTTAGGTTTACATACGTTTTGGTGCACTTTTTGTGTCCAGTTTTCTTTTGAAATAAAATAGTAGGTACAAAATTGGAAGGAAAAGCGAAATTTGAGTCCACTGAATTTTCATATGCTCGTTGTGTAGTGTCATACTAGAAACTCGGAAACATAGGTATGAGAACACTCTTTACAGTTCGTTTAGCAATTTATGATTCATGTATCTGATAACAACATTAATACAATGAACCCTCCCCATGTTTATCTAATCGATGTCACTGGAAGACCAAGGAATTATCAGATCGATGTACATGCCAAAAATATAGGTGGCCTTCACTACATCACCCCTGATAAGCACTCTCTGTCCGAACACTACTAATAGAATGACCTGTCATTTAAACTAAGAGGAAACACATTAATGCTGTGAAACTTCTGTGTGTGAGCCACTATCCATAGCGGGAATCTGAACATGTAGGTGTGGAAGGAATTACGTAAATGTTGCCCCACAATTGAAATTCAGTTGCATAATCCTTACAGTAGTACTAACGAGAAGCACGTTCTTTTGTATGGTTCCTTTTATTTCCTCTCTGCAGTTCACTTTGCTTCTGTAACTTCGATGTAGTTTATTATGGAGAAACGAGCTAGCTATAATGACAACGGAGTCACATGTTATGTCCTTTTTGAAATCAAAACTTATCAATGAAGAAGAGGTTTCTTAAAGATGTCTTAAGGGCAGGGAGCATGATATTCCACAGACCAGAAAAGACATATCCAGTCAAGTGCTTCGTGATGGACAGATTTGGAAAGATGGGGTCTTCTTTAAACTAATAAGGGGACAGGACATGCTGAATTGTGTCTCTCAAGACATCCAGCTACAATATCACATGTTTTATGTCTCCCATACCTTCGTTTGGCAGCGAAAGAATCAACTTTAATTTTGTTACAGGCTATAAAGGTGCATCGAGGTGCTGTAGACCATTTACGATAGAAATAAAAATTACAATGACGACAGGTTTACACTGCTCCACTTGGATCCACGAATGAATGGATCTCTGGGCAGGTTTTGCATTGTGTAAGCTCGGCCACAACGAGGACATGGCCTAAATTATTGTTTAGCTCATAAGCATAAGCGGCCGAAGGAGAAATCTCGAACTTAGTCTTCCAGGGAGGACTAAAAGGTGAGCAAGGACTCACGGATGATAGTTTAGTGATGTTTCTCTCATATCCTGCGAAACTTCTGTCAAACATCCTCACATGGATGGAAAAGGACAAACCCGGATATTCACTACTCACGTGCTCCTCGGCTTGAAGACTCTTGAAAGCTTTAACTTTTCTGATCTATAAATTCATAAAGGAAAAGAATGTAGGCCACTCATTGTTTAGCTGAACAAAGCGGCAACCTCTACCACGAACACAAAAGTCTTAGATATCAATTGCAACCAAATGCATGGGAAGCCACTTGACATCCAATCAGACAGGACAAGACTCGGGATGAGAGCGCTAAAGTACTTCATTCCAACTCGGGCTCTGGACACGGTACGTGACATCAGACTCGGTAAGCATCTGGCAGTAAGCGATGAGGCTCCTAAAATACATATTTATTCAAGGTCTGAAGGTCAATGACAAGCGAAACATGACGAAGGTTTTCAGCCATAGTTGAAGTGCCAGAGATCCAGTCGCAGCCACATTGACCGCAACTGAAGAACGCAACTGAAGAAGCTTCGACGAGGCAAGTGACGAGGCTCGAGTTGTTGCGAAACGTTCAATGAACTCATGTTGTACTCTACCTAGGTTTGATTGGTGGTGAGACATTGCAACCCATTGGTTGGAACTTGGAAGGGGCCTTTGCTGGGTACATCGAAACTCTGAACCTTTTGGGGTCTCCAACAGACATGCAAAACTACTCCATCCCGTTGCTTTACGCTTGAATGATGGAAAAGGACTCCATCTCGCTCGCCTGGACTCGCAGATTAGAGAATCTCGGAATGCAAACCTTTTCACCTATCGACTGCTTTGACAGAGAACACGAACTAACCCAGGCCCATGATTACGTGATAGATAGATGGAATCTGGTCAAGGACACAAATAAAAACGGACCGGTCTCGAAAGGTATTATCCTCCAGAGAAGTAACACGGTCTGGATATCGATGATCAGCTTCTAAGTTTGCAGATTGAGCAGCAGAAGCAGCAGGTATATTACTAGACTAAGTCCTCCGGGCGATGTGATGGATGTGATGGGCCTCTGGGTTACTGCGCATGGAAGAGGCTCGGGAATCACGGTCCAGGGAATTGCCGGTCTCATCAGGCACAGTCCCATGTGTGTGCATTTTGGGGGTCGGTCGAAAAGGCGGAAATCATCGAAAAGTTTCCTATGACCGTAGGAATCTGTAGGATCGTGCGAGGGCTACGTAGGATTCGTACACAGCAGTTCCCAGCTCCAGAGAATATGCAGTCCTTATTGGAAACATCGGGAACACAGGAACATGCCAGAGCGTGTGGACAAAATGTTAAATTGCCATGGAATAGGGAATGATGACAAGAGCTCCAGACAGATATGTAGCTGACGGTAGCCCGCTATATAAAAAAAGAGAAGTCAACTGGAGTCCTCGCATCTACTGCCACATTATGGGTCCGAAGCCGAGAATTCACCGATGCGTGTCGTGTTGGCAGCTCGGCCTGAGCAAGCCAGAACTCGAGTTCCCAAAGTTTCCGCCCATTCGGAACTAGGGCTCCGAATCAGTAGCGCTGGTTGATTCTTCAAACCTTAATTTCTGTCCTATTTCTGTCGAGACGTGACGTCCGCCTTGCTTCCGATCTGCTCGACCTGCTTCTCTTCTCACCTTTTTGCAACAATTTTGGAGCTTCTCTCCCCCACTAAAGCGCACCTCATGGAAGCAAACTTTATTCACAGTTGTGCCACTCACATGCCACCTGATTACTTGGTTGTACTCGTGAAGAACAATATTGTAGAGACTGACTGACGGTTCTGCTTGAGCTGGCCCGAGCAGGTGTCCGATTCTTAGGTTAAGGAGCGAGGATTTATGAACTTATAGGTTCCGAATCTTGGGAGCGGTGAGAGAGGTGACCGAGCCGGCAAAGTGGTTGCAGATTAGATATTGCTTTCTGAGTTGTCTAATTTGCGGGGGCTAAGAAAAAGAATGACTCGCGCAACGGAGCTTTGACACATGCACCGCTCAACAGAAATCGAATATCAGCATAGGAGATACACGAGGATGATTTTTGTACGAACTTCAGATTAGAAAAGATCGTGAATGGTTGAGCTTACGGATGAGATCTCGACTGGAGGTAGACTATATTCAGCTTCTCGAGCATAGCCTTTAGTTGATGTTCCCTAGTCTTTGTTAACCTTTCCTCGCAAGTTTGCTGATTAAACAAAATTCTCTCGCACTCGTCAGTAACTGAACGCTTTACCTCCAGATTCGCATTTCTTCGATAAAATGAAATGTGCACAATATGCTGGCCATGATTAATCTCGTGCCGAAATATGTGCATCACATTCGCCATAAAGCTCGCCAAGTGTGAGGTTTGACACGTTCTATCTGTCCTTTTACAATCTTTAGAATCTCACCTGTTATTTGCAATTACACGCCGAATGACGATCGATCACAGCTGGTGAAGTGAATGTCCGAGACGAAACCTTGCGCTCGATTATTCCGGGGTGAAGAACGAATGCGCCACTTGAAGACTTCTTGCATCAGATTCTTTCACTCTGTTCACACTTGGAAAAAAATTCTCTTCGTTAGCTTCAAGTAAACAAATACTAAACTGCCGTACAAATCTTCAATAGGAAAGTATACCTCCTTGGTGAGTCGATAAAGGTTGTCGATTCCATGCCACCTGTGAAACTCGCAAGTGCAGCTGACTTTTGTCACGTGTGCCGAAGAATCCATAGTCGATTGTTTTTCCTGCAAATATTTGACAGACCGAATAACGTACTACGTGTAACGCTACCTGTGTATAAGCATGCAAGTCACAGAATGTTTGTTGAAGTGCGTCTTAACAGTGAATCAGTAAGCATCTTCAGCAGACGATTTTATTCTCTCGTATTATACTGATATTCTGGAGCTTCTTTTAATATGGTACAAGAAGCTTTCCTCATTCACCTCTCGGAAACTGTGACCCTGAGCAAACATGTGCGAACACAGCTTGAGATTGTTATGGAACACTTGCCTCGTCTCCTTCTGACTTCTGAAGACCTTGTGATGTTGCTATAAGTCTGACTTCGGTTTCTAAATTATTACCTTTCCTCACTGTGAGAATCATTCGGGTATTCGTGGTCGTGTTTTCTATGCAATTGAAAGACCGAAGAAAGCAGCAACATTCTAGAACCTTGCATCGAAATCGGATATTCTATGTTTGCAAGCTACGATATTCTATATTCTTTGCTGCTTCGAACGTGGGTTTGTTCTGACAGCCACAGTGGCCAACATGTCTATGCGCATCTCATATCTGTTTGTTCGAAATTGGAGATCCGACTTTTCCTCCTTCCATGTAACAAGTGCTATTGCCAAGTGGTTAACGTTCTTACCATGCTCCCTTTTATGCACTCTGCTCCTCGTCGTCGTCCTAAAGAAGAGTTCATGTCAGTGAAAGTAGATTCTCAGGTGCTCCTGCGCTACAGCGTTGTCACACTTGCCCTGTGCATATCACAATACATCTGCAGTGCGGACTTGAGGTTTCCTAGTCAAAACATGCGTTTG